CACAAGTGATAAAAGAAATTAGGAAAAAAAAAAACTCCGCCTCATAAGTGCTACATTCCCACTCGTGATGTGGGCAGCTGAGGTTTCTTTTATAGGCCATTTCCACAAACACATTAATCTCCATGCATAATAACCAGCTATGGACAGATGTGCTTAGTAACAGCGCAATATAATTAAATATCCTTTCATCCAGGCATTTCAAAGGGCTTCACCGATGTTAATTATGCCCCAAGCCCTTGGGAAGTGCTGTTTAGTTCAACTTTATGAGCATTTAAAGTCAAGCAAAGGCAATGCCACTGGCCCAGGGGTTACACAGTTTGAACATACACCTATTAGCAGCCCTCAGGTGTCTGGCCTAAGAGTTGAGGTTGAGTTGAGAACTCCTGACAGTAAGCTCCTCTTCCAGACCTCAGAGCTTGAAAACTGTCAATGGGTGTGCCTGGGGATGCCAGCAGGGAGGGAGGTGAGGGGTGGTGCCTGGGTGGGTTCTGCCTCTGGACAAGCCCCTGTGCTCCCCTTCTGCAGAGGAACTATTCCAGGTGTGTTCACATAAGTTACCTAAAGTGTAAGTGTTCAACAAATAAACGTGGACAGCTAATCCAGAACAGGGACTTGGCCCTGGACTGCAAGAGTCTGTCCTAGACTGAAATAACAGTTTCCCACAGAGGGGCAGTCTGTGAGAACCGCCTGGTGCTGGCCTCAGGCCAGCGTCTTCACCTGCAGTCTCTGGTTCTTGACTTCCTTCACCTGCAATGTCAGATACGGAGGATGTTTCGGAGGCAACAGTTAATCCAGCTCCCAACTGGCTCTTGACTTCACTGGGCACAGTCCACTGAGGTGGGAAAGAGGGAGGAAGGGGGCAGGGGCCATCCTCATCTTGAAGGCAAGTACAAGGATCTCAGCTACCTGAGAATGACCAAGACTTGGCCAGAGTCACAGAGTGAGCAAGCGTCAGGGCCAGGCCTGAACGTGTCCCCCCAACACTGTGCTCCCCAACATATTACAGATGAGGAGGTAGTGAGGCCTCCAAACTATCAGGAAGCTTATAATTAGGACACAGGTAGACCCAAGTGGGACATTGGGAGAATAGAGGAGGCTCTATCAATATACACAGACATGAGGCACAAGCCAGGACTTCTGGTCACTATACTCGTAGCACAGTCTCTGGATGGGAGACTTGCCACTGGCGAGGGGAGTAGGATGAGGGCAACACACGAAGAGCAGGCAGCAAGGTGTCAGACTCTGTGGCTTTCTCAGTGTGGCTTCAACAGACCTCAGTATCAAGGGCAGGGCAGCAAGACCAAAGTCACTTCTCTCTCTGTTTCAGGTTCCCTGGGTGGATGACAAAGACCAACAGTCCTGGGCTGGGGTCCTGTGTGACTTCGGGGGGGATCAGCTTAACTCTCTGAGCCTCAGCCTCCCCTCTGAAAAGTGGAGCGACTGTAAACTCTCACAGGATTGTCACGTCACATGAAATAAGGCACGTGTGGAAAGATCACCTGGCACATGAAAAATACTAACACAGTCCTGGCTTGTTACTATTATCTTTACCATTTTCTTTTTTACTATCACTATTATTAGCAACAGCTCTAAGGGTGGACCCTTCTGGTTCCAAGAACTGATCTTCTCCCAGCTACAACTCTGGGAAAAAAACTGTTTCCAGAAAAGCAGCCAAAGGTCACAGACGCAGCAAACCTTGCTTGGGTAGTGGTGTCCGAGTGAAATCTCAGCTACGATCACCTGTTCCAACACCTGCTTTTCGTCCGCCAACAAGAGCCTCTATTTAAACACCGCGGTGATAAGACCAGTCATCACTTGCTATTTAAACTGACCTCCCACAATCCCTTAGGCTTAAAAATGCCCATAGTTAAGTATAGACCATATTTGGGTTTGCTCTGAGGGTCACTCAGATTCAAATACAAAAGATGCATCTGTCTGGCTAAGCAGGTTCTGCTAACCTGTAACCTCGCTTCAGGCCACCTCCCTGACGCTTACCTTCTCCAGCAGGGGAGGCATTATCTTCCCCAGGATTGCCATTTCAAAACTTAATAATCAATGTCAGGGAGAGAAGGGGCCTTGCAAAGTGTCTGGCACAATGCAGGCAGCAGTGGATAAAAGCAAGGGCCTTGGCAATGCACAGACTCAATTCAGATCCTAGCTTTATTACCTATTGACTATGTGGCCTTAGGTAAGTGAACTAACCTCTCTGTGCTAGTTTCCTAATATGTAAGATGGGATTCTAAGAGTACCTGCTTTAGGGGGGTTTGTGAGGATTAGCACAGTCCTTGTCATATACTAAATCCTCAACAAATGTTAGCTGCCATTATGATCATGGTGATTACTATGGTCATTGGAGCTGGCTGTGGAAGCGTGATAAAGGACCTGCATTTTCCTGCCAGGAAAACTGCCAAAGGTGATATCTGAGCTGGAGCTGGGAGGAGAGGTAGGATTTCAATCGGTAGAAACAGGGGATGGTGCAGGCAGCTTCGGTTTCCTTCACCTGTACATTCAGGTCATCCTCGTAATCACCCTATAGGATGGATTTAAAACTGACCTGCAAAGAGCTGCACGACTTCCCCCCAAGTTATAATGATAAAGAGAGCAAGAGCGCTGGGATTTGAAGGCAGGTTTCTCTGATGCTAAAGGCCATGCTCTTAATACCTGTTGCATCTCTACCTTTGTATCAAATTCTGTCCTGGAGGGTAAGATACTGACAGAAATAGCTTCCCTCACCTCCTTGCTAGACTGTACACTCCTTCAAGGAAGAGATATCTCAGGTATTTATACAGCCCCCATCCATGCCACACAGGCACCGAAAGCAGGTGCTCAGCTGAAATGCCTATTTGCTGAAAAGAAGAAACTGAGACTCGAAACTGAGCCTCCAGTGCCAGGAACCCCTGGCAATGCTGCCTCCTGGGCAGCTGGCCTCTTTTCACAGACCCCCGGCCCCAACAACCAGGGCAGAGAGCATAGCTGCCACTGAAGGCAAATTTCTGACTTCACCCCATTGATCAAGCTGAACTTGGGCCCTCTTAATGTTCTCCTTGCACCAAAGATAAGAGATGGTTGGGGGTAGCCCACCCAGCCCATATAACCACCTTCCACTGAGAGCCATCCCAGAGGGAGCCCCAGAAACCTGTTTGCTGTGTAACCCCACCGCAGATTGGACCATGGTAGACACCTGACACAAGCTGGCCAATCAGATCTTCCCAGTAGTTGCAATCTCCACTGCCCTTCCTACCTCTGGTTCCAGGAGCTACCCTGTAGCCTTATGATAGTTTTCTCTTTCAGCTCATCGCCTCTGAAATGAGTTTTTATTCCTTGCAACCAACAGCCTTAACAAAGTAAAGGAGGAGGGAAACAACTTCCCCAGGCAGAATTAACTACACCTCCCTTTGCTTTACATACCTTCCTCTGTTCCTTTTTATAAGCACAGGCGCTTCTGAGCCAAGCACCCCCTGCATGCTTTGTGCAAGGGCTAGGTGCTTTTCCATTGATCCACATGATTGGAGGGATGAGGGATGGAGGGAGGTGTTACTACCACCATTCTACCTATGACAGAAGCTCTGAGAGGCTAAGCCGTGTGTCCAACAACACTTAGCTAGGAAGGAACAGAGTAGGGATTCGAACCCAGGTCTTCTTCCCTTTATCCCACCTAGAACTTCAGTTTGCTTGTAACTTGGTGAGTGTGCCTGTCTCCCATCTCGATTCATTTTTTTATTTTAAAAACTTATTTATTTTAGAGAGAGCAGGCATGCACATCAGGGAGGGGGAGAGGGAGAGAGAGTCTGAAGCTGACTCCATGCTGAGTACAGAGCCCAGCAACTCCAGGCTCAATCTCACAACCCTGAGATCACAACCTGAGCCAAAACCAAGAGCCTTAAGCTTAATGGACTGAGCCACCCAGGTGCCCCCTCCTCCCTCAATTCTTATGCTTGTTGGTAGAGTCACCATGATTGATTTATCTCTGCTCTAGCAGGAAGGTATTTCTGTAATAAGTAACTAAATATTGATTTGTAATTAAAACGGAAACTTATTAGAAATTTCATCTGGGGGAGTGTTCTGTGTCTTCTTAGTATTTTTGTATTTGTCTATTTGGCATCCATTCATCACGGAACCTACTAATACTGCATTTTCTTATGTTCTGTGTACTTGATGCTCTGGCATTTGTGGCCTAGCTCATCAAGCACCAGACCATTTCTCCCGGGGTTAGCCAATTCTTAGAGATAGGAAAAAAGCATGCCCTGCAGCACTGTTTACAGTCACTTTAGATGGGATCCCTGGGTGGCTCAGCAGTTTAGCACCTGCCTTTCGCTCAGGGTGTGATCTTGGAGTCCAGGGATCGAGTCCCACATCGGGCTCCCTGCATGGTGCCTGCTTCTGCCTCTGCCTGTGTCTCTGCCTCTCTCTCTCATTCTGTGTCTCTCATGAATAAATAAATAAAATCTTAAAAAAAAAAGTCTATTACAGTCACCCTAGATTAGAAACAACCCTGAATAGCCAACAATAGAGAATCTATCCAGAAAATTTTGATATGACAACTCAATCATCCAAAAAGGACATGTTAAAGCACTACTCAATGACATAGGGGAGAAACTCATACATAGGCTTAAGTGAAACAACCAACAAAACTTTTTGTACAACCTGATCCCAAACGGGCAACACTGAAAAAAGACAGGAAGGAAATATCCTGAAATATGAATAAAGCTTATCTCCTGAGTAATAGAGTAGGTGATTTAAAAACAAACAAATCTCCTAACTAGGAGTGTGTTCCTTTAAAAACAGGTTTTTTTCCTTTCTATTTTTATGTCTTTTTCTAACCCCCTATTTCTACGTATTTTAGTGAATATTTCTTTCCTCTGGATTACACGTTCTCCTACATGTGTTGTGCCTGTTTCTGCCAATGACAGGCATGCAGACCCGGGATGTGTCTGTGAGCCAACGCTGTGCTACCCCCTTGTTAGAAAAACACAAAATTTCCAAACCACAAAAGCTCTTGCCTTGTAGGAGAAGGAAACCTCGCCGACCGGGTGGGCGCTGCTCGTGGGTGGGAGCTGGTGCAGCTGCAGGGCCGCGCTGGGGGCTCGGTCCATGGTGCTCTAGTGGCACATTCCCTGGGCCTGGCCTGGGAGCTGGAGCAGCTGCTGCTATGCGGGGCCCAGACTGGAGACCATCCTGGCGTCGTTCACCTCCTCTCGCCAGCCATCGGAGGACTTGAAGGCTCTTCTGGATGATTTACAGCCTCTTCCTCTCCTCCACTCAGGGAAGTGCCAAGTTCTCTCTCCCAAGCAGACAGACAAGGGTGTGATTCCCTATGCCGGCGGTGCTCTAGGGAGGTGGGGAGGAACATTAAAAATGCATGTACCATGAAGCATTGAGCCCAGCTTTGTTACATGAGGAGAGAATACTATGAGGACAAAACATAAGCTGCCATGAGAAGTGAAGCCATTAAAAAAAAAAGTATCATGCCTTTGGCCCCCTCAATAAAGACATGGCTCATTTACCTCAGAACTGTTCCCTCTGGCCCTTAAGAATCACCTTTTCTCTTCCTCCCATCACATCCTAAATCCTGCCTTTTCTATAGGTTTCACAGAAGTAGAACATTGCCCTTGCCTACCTCTCCAGGCCTCCAAAAAAATATCCTGCCATAAAAAAAAGGAACCATTTGTGTTCTGACTTAGGGAAGAAAGAATGGAAAGAAAAGCTACCTCTGTGGATGGTGGAAGAACTGGGATGCTACAAGGGTCAGCTGAGCACAAGTGAGGTAACACTGGGCCCTAGGAGAAGACCTGTCTGACCAGATCACATCAGCTCTGGGGGACTCAGGTGCCTCATCTGTAAAGTGGGGGTATTAATGTGGCCTCAAGTAAAATGAGCAATGACAGTAATTCCCATTAGCTTTATTGGACTGATATTTTCAGCACATGTCAAGCTTTTCTACTAAACAGAGAAGAAAGATGACGTATATGCTCCCAGGGTTCTGAAAGGCATGGGCAAAACCCCTTACCACAGTGCTAAGGGTTTCTTTGAGGTCTTCCTGGGCAGGGGGGGATCCATACAAATTGGGATTCTACTACAAAGTCTATACTTAATTAATTAATTAGTTTATTTATTTATTTTTCAATGTGGGGACTTAAACTCACAACCGTGAGACCAATACCTGAGCTGAGATCAAGAGCCAGATGCTTAACCGACTGAACCGCCCAGACACCCCTCTATGTTATTTTAATATAAAAATGTTTTTTTAATATTCTTTTTTTTATGATAGTCACACAGAGAGAGAGAGAGAGAGAGAGAGGCAGAGACACAGGCAGAGGGAGAAGCAGGCTCCATGCACCGGGAGCCTGACGTGGGATTCGATCCAGGGTCTCCAGGATCGTGCCCTGGGCCAAAGGCAGGCGCTAAACCGCTGCGCCACCCAGGGATCCCTATAAAAGTGTTTTAATTAGCTTTTGATTTGTCATATGCTACCTATTTTCCCTGGCCAAGTCATTTAACTTTGCAGGTAGTTTTCTCTGCTGTAAAATACAGATAATAGCGTTCCTACCCCTACAGAGTTGTTGTGAGAATTTGATGAAATAATGCGTGTAAAATGCATGCACAGCAAATGGTCAATGAATGGCAGCTATTATTAGTATTAATTTTGTTTTTATCAGCTTAATTATTTAATTTGCCCACAAATATCTCTTTCATGCATTCATGCAACAAATATTTATGGAGGGCTATGTGCCAAATGGACACAGCCTCTGCTATGCCCCAAGTCTTCAGTAAGTTGCCTTTTGCTTGTCCTATAACTTCCAGTTCCTTCTGTTATCTAGCCCTACCCCCAGGAATGCTGGTTCCTGGTGTGAACAGCACAGTCATATATCAGTGTCCAATGTCTAGCAGACGCTGGATGCAAGGCTTAGCACAGGGGCAGCCACAAAGACCATCTGGCTCAGTTTGTCTCACTTTATTGAAGGACCTCAAAATTAAATTATTGCTGCTGCCTCCAGATGAGGTTGTACATGCAGTACATATTCAATATGTTAATTATACATATACCCATATACATATGGTATATATATATATACATATATACATATATATACAATGTACACTCATCAGACAACTTTATAACTCACATCCCATAATCAGACCTCCCTCACTGTAAAGACCTATAAATATTTGGAATCTTGTGAAAAGCATAATTATTCTTCACTATGCTTTTATGTGTGGGTGAAAAGCATGACTGCGTTAAATTTATGTATTTTAGTGTTTTGGATATAGTAGCCTTAGAAAGGGAGAGTGGCCCAGGGAGGGACCTCTGAGAGACCCTTGGAAGCTTTCAACCTGGACTGGAGCTGAAGGGACACCGGAGCCTAAGCTGGGAAAGTATCTGCTGAATCCCCTGTTCAGGTGCAGCTTGCCAAGATCCGGCCCAGAGCTTGGCATGGTGACCTCCATACAATACCTACTGACTGGCTAAAGGCAGGCCTGTGGAGCACCTGAGGCAGCACGCAGGAAAGAATGGAATGGCTTACTCAGGCCTAATCTGCCACAACTCCGGAGATACAACAGCTGTAGCCAGCCCCGCCCACAGGATGTCAGAGAAAGCAAACAGGCCTCCAAGACATGCCAAGGGGGTGATAGAAACCCAGGCCTCCTAACCTTCTTTGGACCAGTTGCTTTATTCGGGTGGGTTTCTGTTTTTGCTTCTGTTGCTGTCATTTAATTCCCTTTTAAAAAGCAGCTTCCCTCTGTGCCTCAGGAACGCCCAGGCCTCCGAGGCATCACCAGCAAAGACAGGAGGCTGTCCCTCAGCTAGACAAGAGTTTGGATGAAAAGCTTTGGAGGAATTCTTTGCAACTTGTCCTCCCTCGTAAGGTGCACTTTCTTGCCTAGTGACTCTCTTTTTCCGCCTTCCAGGCACTTTTCTAGCACTACCATATGCCCATGAGGCAAGCGGCCAACTCTGTGTTCCCAGCGACCCCTTAATTCTGAGGCCCTCACAGCCAGCAGCGAGCACAGGGTCATTAACTCAAAAAAAGGAAAGATAATTCTAGGTGCTTGCTTCCATTCCATCCCCTGACCTTATCTCAATGAATTATTTCACCAACCCACAGAGCAGGTTGGACAGATGAAAGGACCTCAGCTCATGGCTGCTAGGAGCAGGGTTTGTATTAGAATTGGGCTCTATCTGGGAAAAAAAAAAAATCAGTAAAACACACACTTTCCCACCACCTGAAGATTCAGCTTCTGGCTGGTGGTGAGCGCCAGTTACTCCAAGCCCTTCCCCTTTCCTGGGCTTTGGCTCACTACAGGGTTACACTCTTCAGTGCCCTCCCCTGGAGCTGGAAACCACAACTTCCAGCAGCCGGTGCAGATCCAGAATGCCTCCCCTATCCCACCTGCTAACTCCACCATCTGCTATTGCCAGGAAGCCAGAGCCGGCGCGTTAGAGGAATGATTTTGGCAAAGTTACTGCATCTCACTTCCTGATTTGCTAAAGTCTGCCATCATCACCTATATCAGGGCCATCCCGTGGTCCCCCACCCCCCTTGCAAAAATGGGGGGGGGGGGGGAAATACCACTCCGAGGCAGCGAGACCCAGGCCGGCAAGGCTGGTGACAGCAAGAAGGGAGGGTGTTTGTACCAGGGGGCGTTAGGGGAGTCCAAGCGCATTACCCTTCCTGAAAAAATGAGGGCTAATTTCAAGTGCCCCCCTCGCCCCGTCTCAGGCTTAATCACTACTCACCGGGCGGCGTCTCCTCCAAAGCCCACCTATGACAGGTTTCTGAGAAAGGACTTGGACCCTCCGCGCAGCCCCGGGCGCAGCCTCCGTAATTCCTTCCCCGACTCCAGGGCGGCCTGGCTGCGGGAGTGTTTTGCTTTCAAAGGCCGCGCGTTGATTTGCCAGGCCGCCTGCCGCTCAGGGGACTTCGCGCCGGCGAGTGGCTGCGAGGGCGCGGTGGGCGGGGCGGCCCCCGGCCATTGGCTGCGCCGCCAAGCTTGCTTGCAGCGTAGGGGGAGCGGCTCGGGGAGGCGGCGCCCCTCCGGAGCCGGGCGCTCACCTGGAGGGGGGTCCCCGCTGGCCGCCGCGCCCGGGGCGTGGGAACCGACTCCTCGTCCCCTCCGCCTGTCCCGGCGACGGCTCACCTCCGCTGCCCGACAGGTGCGCAGCCCTACGTTCCAATTCTCGGCGCCCCCCCCCCCCCCCAGGATTTGCTCCTCCTGTTCCTCCACCTGATACTCTCACCCCGCGTTCGAAGCCGTCGCGGCCCTCAAGACCCGGCTCCCCCCAGAGCCTTCTCGAGTATTCGGGGCCTTATCCGCATTACACCCCTTGCGGGGCCCTCCCCTAACACCTGTTGGCCGCGCTCCGTACCAGCCCTCCCAGCGCGTCGGCAGCTCTGCAAATGCCCGGGGTCCTCCAGGGAGCCCAGCACTTGATGGGTGCGCACCTGTACGCAGTAGGCAATAGGTGTAATCAACACGTGCGTGGGGCTTACACGCTTACGCTTTTCCACTTACACGCATGTCTTTTCAGATCCTGAGACTTTGAGCCCATTCATGCCCATTTTACAGAAGAAATGGCATTTGGGCCGGCACCCCAAAGGAGGAGAAAGAGCCACTTTTGGTTAAGATCTGGAGGCAGAGAGAGCTCAGAGGGAACACCTGAGAGCAGAACGCGGTTGGCATTAAGTAGGAACTGCCCAAAGGACAGCGTGGCTGGTGCAAGGTTATTCTGGGGTGTGGGTGGTAGCAGCTGCCATCAGAGGACCCGACCAGAGACAGCTTAAGAAGACGTTTGGGTTTGTCCTAATTTAATGTGTGTGTGTGGGGGGGGCATTGTGGGTTCTGAGCAGGAGAGTGACAAGATCCCTGTGACTGCTCTGAAGCCTGCAAAGAGGGGCTCAAGGAACACTGTATGTCTGTCCTTGTATCGTTGCCCCTATCAATCTTTTTTTCTTTTACTATTATACACAGGGCTTGGATGAAGGGTGGTTGTCTTCTTTTTTTTTTTGATAATTTTTTTAAATTTTTATTTATTTATGATAGTCACAGAGAGAGAGAGAGGCGCAGAGACATAGGCAGAGGGAGAAGCAGGCTCCATGCACCGGGAGCCCGATGTGGGATTCGATCCTGGGTCTCCAGGATCGCGCCCTGGGCCAAAGGCAGGCGCCAAACCGCTGCGCCACCCAGGGATCCCCGTGGTTGTCTTCTTTTAACTAGGGTTTCCAGGTAGGCAAAATTCTAAGGCTCTTGGTCTATCGCAAGATATTTGAGGGGTTACTTAGATAAACCCTTATTAGGTTTCTGCCACTAATCCAGACATAGTTAACCAGAACCCTAAAATTCTGGCAGTTTCCCCGAGGGTTTTTTTTTTTTCTTTTGAAACGCCTCTGATAATTGGCCAACAACATTTCACACTAAAGAAACACAGGAAACTATTGGCTGATGTGAGTACTCAGGAGGCGGCCTGCAGGAGGACTCTAGAATGTTAGGCCTGAGGTTGCCATAGCGACAGGGAGGCTGGGCAGGTCAGGTTCAGCCCAGGGGGACCAGACGAGGTAGGAGGCCGTTTCTGCTCTGGGATGGGTCGCGGGGGTCGCGGAGAGGGAGGAGAGGACCTGGAGCAGCTCCTGAGACACCCACTGAGACCCCTGGCCTGATGGATACGTGTGGAATTCCGCTGCCGAGGTAGTTGGTGCCCCAGTGCAGGAAGAAGCCACAGTATCTGAGGCCCTCCTCCCTGATGGTGTGCGCTCAAAGCCCCCACTTAAAGTGATGATGATAATCACCGAGGGCCCTCCCCACCGAGCTCCTACCAGGGGCATGGGCTTCTGACTCCCCTGCCTCTGCGAGGGTACAAACGGTTGGGGGCTCCAGTGCCAGGCAGTGGGTGGACGAGAAAGAGCTGAGTTCTAATCCCAAATCCACTCCAGCTCCTTGGGGGTCCCTCACCAAAAGCTTCCCTGCTCTGGGCCTCAGTTTATCCATCTGTAAAATGAAAGGGTGAGATTGGAATTTAGTGGTCACTAGAAGGCTGCTAAAGCTCCTTCCAGTTCTTTGACATGCTTTCTCAGTTTCTCATGAAAAGTACAAAGTGGATTATTTCCCTGAGTGTGCTTTGAAAAATGTAGAATACTTCCAAGATGCACCATAGCGTTATATATAACTGAATCAATAAAAATCTCATGTTCTTAAAACTACTCATGCAGGGATCCCTGGGTGGCTGAGCGGTTTAGCGCCTGCCTTTGGCCTGGGCATGATCCTAGAGTCTTGGGATCGAGTCCCATATCGGGCTCCCGGCATGGAGCCTGCTTCTCCCTCCTCCTGTGTCTCTGCCTCTCTCTCTCTCTCTGTCTATCATAAATAAATAAATAAATAAATAAATAAATAAATCTTAAAAAAAAACCTCATGCAAATACCCTAAAATTTCACATAAAGTAACAGTATACACAATTTAGATTTATTGCCATACACTTCCCATGAATATGCATGTATAAATTTATAAAATATGTGGTAATATTCTAACATAAATGAAGTTTTTTTAAACATGTAGTAGAGTGAAAACATACTTGTATTTATAGTCAGGTGAGTTAAATCCTTATAGACTGTAGCTCCTAAAGGAGAGAGTTGTATTGTGAACACATCTATATGCACTATGGCTAGAATATGTCTATCCCTCGTATTCATTCATTCCACAAATATTATTGAACAACTTGAGCAACCAGTATGTGCCAGGAAACAGACTGGGATTTCAGTGATGAACTTTCTGTTGGTGAAGACCATAAACCAAGAAATGCATATAAAATAGGATGTCGGTTAGTGAAAAGTGCATTGAGAAACATAAGGCAGGGTCAGGGGCCGAGAGAGAGAAGGTGGTGCTCCTTAAGAGAGAGTAGTTAAGGAAGACATTCCTAAGGCAGATTGAGGAGAGACCCAGATGAATTTGGTGACAAGGCCAGAAGATGATACCCAGCATAGGGAAGAGAAGAATCCACATGCTACAAGGAGGTATTGCAAAAGCTGGAAAGGTTCCGTGTCTTTAGGTGGTGGGACATGACAGCTGCCTTCAAATACTTGAAGAATAGTCATATAGAACAGTGGCTTCCAAATGTTTTGACTGTGACCCATGGTAAGAAATGCATTTTATATTGTGATCCAGCACATACACATGACAAACAAAAACTTCACAAAAGACTGCAGGCTGTGACCTGAATTTTGAGCATCACCAATGTGGAAGAGGAGTGAGATTTACTCCAGGCTGATTCCGAGGGGTGGAATTAGGATGAATGAAGGGGGAAAAGAAATGAATCAACTTTGATACAGGCAAGAACTTTCTAGTAATTGGGACTACCAGTGGACTGCCTCGGGAATTTTCATACTGAGTTCTGGGGAGAGCCCAGCACTCTGAAAGTTTGACAGCCTCAAATATTTGCTCTATATTTTGGAAACTATATGCGATATCCTAATTTTAAAAAACCAACCATATGCACTCAAGACCGCCAAATGTCAAATTTTAGCATGTTAACGTTTAGTGTATGCTGCCTAGAAGTTATGATAGTGGTTAAGAGTGAGCAGAAGTCAGAATTCCTGGGTTCAAAGCCTGATTCCACCTCTTACTTCTGGTGTGACCTTGAGCAAGTCATCTAACTCCTCCCTCTAAACTTAAGTTTCTTATCTATAAAATGAGGATAATACTTGACTGGATTGTTGTAAGGACAGCATAAAGTGTTCTATACAAGGTATTTAAGACTGTAAGTGTTCAATAAATGATGGCTATTTTTAAGCCATTACTACATCATCCCTGTGCATGTGTTAACACCAAATATTAATGAAAGCCTACCGTGGACCAGGCAGCAGCATCTACTTCATCATAGGGATCATTGTATTGAATCCATAAGCACCTTGAAAAGAAAGTACTTTTATCAGTTGATAGAGGGGGCAGTGGACTCAAAAGATTAAGTGACTCATCTAGACTCAGAACTGGTAAATGGCAGAGCATAACCTTGAATCCGAGGATACTCTTGATTACTGTACAGGTGCTCACCTGGGAGCTGCTTGGACATATGCCTTTGATAAGGAAGATGGTATATCTTTATTACTCTTTTTTGAGATTCTAGGCCTATGACATCCTGTCATGAACAGTTACACAAGGAACTGGAGCAGTAGGGCACATCTGGGCAGTGCTCTGTTCACACCTGGGCTGCAACCGCTCTCATCGTGGCCTCGCAGGTATGCACTACCAAGGCTGGACAGCATTATTAATAGTGCGGTCTTTAGGTGGTAGGGTTATGGATTGTTTTAGAATGTCTTTTTAAGTTTCTTATATTTTTCAGAAATTTGATAAGGTGCCCATATTACCACTGTCACAGGAAACTTAAATGTGTTCTAATCACTTGTAGTTCTAACACATTCTTGCATTTTAATTTTTTATTATTTATTTATTTATTTATTAATTAATCTTTGTAAAAAAAAAAACTTTGTATTTGAGTGTGGTTGATACACAGTGTCACATCAGTTTCAGGAGTCCAACACAGTGATTCAACAGGTTTGAACATCATGCTGTGCTCAGCCCATTAGTGCATTTTTAAAATAAGAGCTTTATTGTAGCGAGGAAATAGATGGTAGAAGAGGTTCTAAGAACTTAATAGAAGTACTAGGACAATGACACAGCACTGTAGGGTGGTAAGTGAATGATGGCTGCTTTTATTTATTTATTTATTTTTAAAATTGTATTTATTTATTTGATAGAGAGTGAGCACACATACACAAGCAGGGGGAGTGGCAGGCAGAGGGAGAGGGAGGAGGAGGCTCCCCACTGAGCAGGAAGTCCAATGAGGAGCTCCATCCCAGGACACTGGGATCTTGACCTGAGCTGAAGGCAAATGCTTAACCAGCTGAGCCACCCAGGTACCCTGCTGGCCACCTTTATAGATCTTAAGAGAAAATAGAATCGTATAACACTTTTATACTAGAATAGTGGTGTTGCTGTGAACGTTATTGATTTCTGGTACTTTGCATCTCTTAATTTCTTGGAGTGTGTTGCCAATATCTCTCGTAAATGTTAAAATTTCAGTGATAGATCGTCAAGCAGAGAAGATTGAGCATTGCCACTGTGGGAAAGTCAAGTGAGGAACAGACAGTGCAGGTGAAAAGGATTGGTTGGAGCGTGCCATCATTCATTCAGTCCTTCCTTTGTTAGTAAATGGCGGGAGTTCTTGAGGAAAGAAAGATGTGTGAAACAGAGCTCGCCTGTCCACGAAAGGTTAACTGCTCTGGACACTGAATCATGTTTCTCTTGTTAACAACTAAAACCCACACTCACATGGAACAACTGGTTTTAGACACAAGGCAGCTCGGTTTGGCAATTCCTGAGAGAAGGAAAACAAGGGAGAGCTCTGCAAGTGCTGGAACTTTAGTGCTGGGGGCAGTTTCCAGGCCACGGTTCAGGGGGGAGTGGCGGCAAACAAAGCCCAGCTTTCTGGGTTGGGGAGATAGAAATCAGAGTTCAGGGAGCCCAGAGAGGTTGGAATTTATAGGATAGGCTGCTGCAGAGAACGGACTGGACTTGCACAGATAAAGTTCAGAAATAGGAATAAGGTTCTCCTCAAGTGTTTGACTGATTGGCAATGAATGACCGTGACAGGGAGATGCTACTAGACAACCACTAGAATGCCTAAAATGAACAAGTGTTGGTCAGGATGTGTAGCAGTTGGAACAATGTACTGCTATAGGCAGCAACGTGGAAGGTCTGCAAAGCTTTGTGCTCTGTGAGAAAAGACAGAGAATGGTATATACTATATGATTGCATATACGTATGTTCTAGAAAAGGCAACTGTGGTGACAGAAAACAAAGCAGTGGTTGCTAGATGTCAGGGTTGGGAGGGTATCGACAGGAGAGAAACACAGGAAACTCTTTAGGATGATGGATATATTTCTGTCTTAATTGAGATGGTATTTGACACAATTGTAAGCATCTGCCAAAACGTAAAATTGTGCACTTAGAACTAATGAATTGCATTGTATGTCAATTATCTCGATAAGGATAAATTTATAAAATTCAGGTCTTCATCAGCTCTGTAAGAAGCATCAACAATGAATGAATACTAACCAGAATTCCTGTTCCGGGCAGTGCAATGTCCTTGGGAGTCAGGGTCACAGATCTAGGTAAATCTCAGGTTCTACCCGCAAGATTGCTCAGCCTATATTCTGCAGATAGAACAGAACCCAATCAACATAGTAACAGGAATGTGAGATGATCCCTACAAATGCTGTATCTTGTTGTTTCAGGTGCTTAAAAGAACATGTAATAGAATTTTTCATCAAACAAATGGAACATACCGCAGAACTTTGCTAAGATGGACAATTCGACACATGAAGCCCAACACCTTGGCAAAAAAAAATCCAGCCATGCCAACAAATTACAGAGAGGTCTTGTGAATTTATTAACGGATATCTTTGAGGGGAGGAGAGAGCTCTTGACATGTGTTCTTTTTGGCACATAAGAACACAGTTTAGAGGAATATAGCAAATCCCGGGTCATACCCACAAGGCCATCCTTAAGACATATCAGATAGATTGCTTTGGTGGCTCCTCACTGCTTCTAGAGTGATGACTGGGAAGAAACTATGAAAAGAAAGCACGAGGAGGGAAGGAGGAGGAAATCTGTTCATCACACTTGGTATTTCCATGTATCTGGTGAGAATCTCAGTCCTCACACTTAGATGTGTGAAAAGATCTTATTTTCTCTATTCCTAAAATTAATGCAAGCCAGCCCCCCACACATGCTCTGTTGGGTTTGGAACTTTTTCAGTAGAAAGAAGTGATGTGCTGGGGGCGGGGGTGGGGGTGGGGAGAGGGAGCACTCATGAGATGAGAGCTCCATTGTCCCAGCCCACAGGCTCTCCTCAGTAGTGTGAGTATGCGCTAATTCTAGACCACATCTGGGGTTTAGGAATCATTGCTAGGGCTGGAAGCCTCATTCCAAGATCCTTACTCCACTGCTTTTTCTTTCTTTTGGGGTATTTCCACCTTCCTGGTGGCACTTCTAGAGTCCCTGCTGATCTCCAACCTAGACCCAGAACTTTCTTCCTTCCTCCCATCCTTTGATTTTGTACTCTCACTTTTTCTTTAATACTTTTTAAAATCAAAGCATAATACGTATTCAGAAAAAGTACACAAATCATAATTAGACAGCTTTCTGAATATTCACAATGAAAGTACAACCTATAGAATCACTCTCTCAGTCTAAGAAAATAGAATCGCAGCAAGATCCCTAAAGCCCTGTCTTGTCACTTCCCTTCTCCATGCAAGTAAACACGACAGCTATCCTGACTTCTAATATCATTGATTACTTTAGCCGGTTATTAAACTTAAAAAAAACATTTATTCATTTGTTTTAGTGAGACAGAGTGTGCACATCTGTGTGGTGGGAAGGGTGGGACAGAGGGAGCGAGAATCCCAAGCAGACTACCCACTGAGCCCATGGGGGAGTGGAGGTGGGCTTTATTTCAGAACCCTAAGATCCTGATCTGAGCCTAAATCAAGAGTCAGATGCTAAATCCACTGAGGCACCCAGGCACCCCTTGTTTGTTTTTGAACTTCATATCGATCGGAATCATACAATATGAACTTTATTCTCTCAGCCTTTTCCACTCATGTTTGAGAGCTTTAACTCCAAGTTTCATGTATCAGTTAATGTTTCATTTTTGTCGCTACCAAGTTTTTCTTTGTCGGAATACACTGCCACTTATTTATCCATTCTCCTGTTGAAGGACTTTTGGGTTGTTTCTAGTCTGCCGCTACTCTGAATAAAAGCTTTTCAAACTAGGCTCGAATAGTTTTGGGGACATATATGTATGTATGTCATCTCTACTTCAGAGAAGAATTTCTGGGTCCTAGGATGTGTTAATGATCAGCTTGGTTGATACTGCCATTTTTCCAAAGTGGTTTTTGCCAGTTTTACTTGGTTAAAAGCAAGATATGAGAATCCACATAATCAACAATGTCTTTTGCACAAGAGAGTTTTAATTTGTATTACTCTTTGATCAATGAGATTGAGCAATTTTTCACATGTTGGTTGACCTTTAGAATATTCTCTTAGGAGGAGTGACTGTTCAAGTTTTTTGCCTGTTTTATTAAATTGGATTTTTCTTGTTTTTAAGAGTTCTTTAAGCCATTCTAGAAATGAGTCAGTTTGTCGGCTACAGAGAGAGTGAATACCTTCTTTCAGTCTGTGACTTTTCTTTCTGCTCTTAATGATGTGCTAATCAACAGAAGGTCTTACTATAACCCAATTTGTCAATCCTTTCTATTTTAGTTACTCTGTATGTCTGTCCTATTTGAGAAATATTTACCTAGCCCGTATAATTTCTTCTAGAAATTGCATTATTTTTCCTTTTGTGTCTAGACCTATAATTCAGTTGAAATTGTTTCTGTGTATGGTATGAGGTGAATGCACAAGTTTGGTGTTTTCAGTATCTGTAACCAAGTGACCCAGTACCATTGATTGAAAGGCCATTCTTTTTCTACTACTCTGGTGTTCTGCCTTTGTCATAAATCAAGTGTCTGTGTATTTGCAGGGCTGCTTCTGGATTCTTTATTCAGCTCAAATACTATACTATGCGATACTATACTATACTTTATTCAGTCTTTTTTCTTAGAATCAACTTATTAATGTGCTAAAAAAAAATCCTTGCTGTCATTTGATTTAGATTGCATTGACTCCAGTAATCAATTTAGGGATAATTTACATCTCTATAATATTGAGTTCTTTTTTTTTAAATTTTTTATTTATTTATGATAGTCACACACACACACACACACACACACACAGAGAGAGAGAGAGAGAGAGGCAGAGACATAGGCAGAGGGAGAAGCAGGCTCCATGCACCGGGAGCCCGACGTGGGATTCGATCCCGGGTCTCCAGGATCGCGCCCTGGGCCAAAGGCAGGCGCTAAACTGCTGCGCCACCCAGGGATCCCAATATTGAGTTCTCCCATGCATGTGCATCTCTTTTATTTAAATATTCTTAAATTTTTCTCAAGAATGTTTTACAGATCTCTATGTAGAGCTTATGTGTATCTTCTTTATGTCTGTCTAGGTATTTGATTTTTATGCTGTTATAAGTGGCAATATTTTAATTTCCTTTTCTAATTGTATCCTGGTATAGAAATAAAATGAATTGACTTTTGTATATTGATCTTGATTCTAATGACCTTACTAAATTCAGCTAATCCCCTCATAGATCATCTATAGATTCTTAACTTTTTCAATGTGTAATCTTATCATCTGTAGATAATGACAGCTTTATTTCTTCCTTTCTGATCCATACATTTTCATTTATTTTTCTTGACTCTTGTACTGGTTAAAGTCCTTCAGGACAATATTAAGAAGAGTGACAACAGTCTCCTGGTTTATCTCTCTTAGGAGAAAGCTTTTAATATTTCATTATCCAGTATCATGTTTGCTATGGACTTTTGTCATGGATAGCTTTTATCAGATTAAGGAAATTTGCTTCTATTCCTAATTGGCTAGGGTTTTTTTTGTTTAATCCTAAAAGGACATTAGATTTTATGAAATACTTTTTCTATCTACTCAACAGATACTTCACCAAAAAAAAAAAGATATGCAGATGGGAAATAGCATATGAAGAGATGCTCAGCATCATTAGTTATTAGCAAAATGCAAATAAAAACCACAATGAAATACCACTACACAGCCCATGGGATGGCTGAAATGAAAAAGACTGCCCCCTATTGATGACGACATGCAGGACCAGTAACTCTCATAGTGAAGACAGAGGCACAAGAACTTTGGGGAAGAATTTGGCAATTTCTCTCAAAGTTAGACATTTGATCCAGCCATTCCTCTCCTGACTATTTACCCAACAGAAATTAAAACATATGTCGACTCAGAAGACTTGTAGTGGAATGTAGATAACAGCTTTTATTTGCAATACCCCCAAACTGGAAACAACTCAAATTTCCATCAGCAATGTCACATTTCTATATAATGAAAATACTATTCAGCAATAAAATCAATGAAGCATTGACACTTCAACAACATGATGAATCTCAAAATAATTATGCTGAAAGAAGCCAGACAAAAATGAATACATACTACATGATTCCATTCTGCATCTACTGAGATGATCATATGGTTTTGTTTGTTTTTTTTTTTTTAGTTGGTCAATATAGTGAATGACATTGACTTTCAAACATTAACCTAGCTTTGCAATACTGAGATAAACTCCACTTGGTCATGATTTATTACCTTTATGTATTGTTGGATTTAATTTACCAAAATTTTTCTAAGAATTTTTGCATGTGCCTTTATGAGGGTTATTGATCTGCAGTGGTTCCTCCCACCCCCACCATGACTTTGATTTTAGTATCAGGGTGATGCTGGCCTTCTGGAATGGATTGGGTAATGTCTTATCCTCTTCAATCTTCTGGGATAGATTATAAAAAATTAATAGGTAGAGTGTTCTATAAATGTCAACTAGGTCAAGTTAGGTAATAGCATTGCTCAAGTCATGTATTTTTTTTTTATTTTATTTTTAAGTAATCTCTACACCCAACTTGGGGCTCAAACTCACAGCCCCAAGATCAAGTGTTGCATGCTCTTACCCACTGACCTAGCCAGGTGCCCCCAAGTCTTATATATTTTTACTGATCTTCTCTCTACTTATTTAAATTATTGAAGGAGGAACTTTTAAATCTGATTATAGTTGTGGAGTATTCTATTTCTTCTTGTAGTACTATCAGTTTTTACTTCATGTATTTTTAGTTCCTTGTTATTGGGTGTATCAGCATTTAGGCCTGGTATATTCTCTTGAGGAATTGACCCCTTTATGATTACAAAATGACTCTCTTATTGCAGGTAATATTTCTTACTCTGAAATCTGCTTTGCCCGATATTAATATCTAGGTTTCTTCTGTGTAGTGTTAACATAGTGTATCTTTTCCCATTCTTTTATTTTTAACCTATTTCTGGAGTTATATCTAAAGTTTATACATATATATTTTTAAGATTTTATTTATTTTAGAGAGAGAGAGAGAATGCGAGTGGGGGGGAGGAACAGAGGGAGAGGGACAAGCAGAGGGATAGGGACAAGCAGAGGGAGAGGGACAAGCACACTGAGCACAAAGCCTGATGCAGGGCTCGATCCCAGGACCCTGATATCATGACCTGAGCCAAAATCAAGAGTTGGATGCTTAACCAACTGAGCAACCCAGGCACTCCTAAAGTATATTTCTTGAGGCATATAATTAGGTCTTTTTCTCTTAACTATTTTGACCATCTCTGTCTTTTGATTGGGATGTTTATTGAACATTGAAATTTAATGTGAATATTGGTGCATAGGTTTAAGTTTACCATCTTGGGATTTGCTTACTATTTGTCCTATGTGTTCCTTATTTACTTTTTCTGCCATCTTTTGCATTGAGTATTTTTGTTTGTTTGTTTCTGTTTTATTCCGTTTGTTGACTTATTAGGAATAACTCTTGGGGGACCTGACTTGCTCAGTTGGTGAAGCATGCAACACTTGATCTCAGGGTAGTGTGTTCATGTTGGGTATAGATTACTCTAAAAAAATTTTTTTGGGGAGGTGGGTGGAGGGTGGGGGTGACTGGGGGATGGGCACTGAGGGGGGCACTTGATGGGATGAGCACTGGGTGTTATTCTATGTGTTGGCAAATTGAACACCAATAAAAAATAAATAAAATAAATAAAAAAAATTTTTTGAAGGAAGGAATAACTTTTTGCAGTGTTTTAGAATAACTTTTTGCAGTGTTTTCTGAGTGGCTGCTTTGACCTTTGGCCGAATCAGACCTGCTGCCGGTTTTTATAAATTTAATTTTGGTTTTGATTGTCTTCTCTTTATGAATTGCATTTTTTCTTCTTCACATGCCTATTAATCCTTAATTGGATACCATATATTTTGCGTTTTATTTGTTGGGTGCTGAGTCCTTTTGTACTCTCGCAAAGTCCTGTGCTTTGTTTTGGGAGTTAAATTACTTGGAAATAGTTGGATTTTTTCAAGTCTTGCTGTTAAGTGTTGTTAGCTGGAAGCAGGGCAGCATTTAGCCTAGCATTTTGCTGTCTGTGAGGTGAAACTCTCTGCATACTCTATGTTCTAGGAATTATAAAGCTTTCTACTCTGATGAGTGGAAATAGGAGTTATGCCTATACTGATATTCAGGTGTTTTTGTTCAACTTATTTCTTTCAGTTGATTTTTTGCCCAGCCTTGGGTAGTTTTGTCACATGCATGTACTGATCGATACTCAGGAAACCAGTGCAGTCTCCAGAGCTCTTTCTCTGTGTAGCTCTCTTCTCTGGTTCTCTGCTTTGTGAACTTTAGAAACCTGGTTTTTCTGGGCTTCCAGATTCATTTCCTCAACTCAAGAAGACTGCCAGGCTCTCCCTGGTCTCCTTCCTGTGCTGTGGCTTGGAAACTTCTCCAGGCAGCAAGCTGGGGGCAATCTTATTGCTGACCCATTTGCTTCCCATTTCTCAGGAATCCATCTTTTGTTGCTTGATGTCCAGTATCTGGAAAACCATTAGTTTCATATATTTTGCCCCTGTCTAACTTCTGTTTCCACAGCTAGGAGGGCAAATCCGGTCCCACTTTGGTTGGAAATGGAAATTCAGTTATCCAGAGTGGTTGTTTATGTTTGTTTGTTTTTTTTTTAAATCTTATTTTTCGGGTTGTCTTCCTTGAGAGAGTTGCTTTCATGCATATTGTTCTACCACAGCCAGAAGCCAAAGTGTTTGATCTTCTTTTGAGTCAGGAAACTTTTCTCCTTCCCCAAGAAGATGGCTTTCCTTTTACCTTAAAAACAAAACAAAACAAAAAACAAAAAACAGAGGCCCTCTTTCTTTTCTGTTTTTTCTGCAGTCTCTTCCAGTTGCTCCATGGACTTTTAGAAACAAAAACTAGGAAGACTTGCACGTGATGCTTTCTGATTTGCTCTCTCATTCCCCTTAAAGAAAAAAATACAGAGCCATCCACCTACTAAATGAGGGTGGGAAGAGAAGGGAGGAAAGGAGTGAATATACCATATGTTTATCTCTCACATGTTTTCTAGCCCAACATTTATTCTGCTTCTTTGACTTCATCTTCAATCTGAGCAAATTAGGCAAGATTGCCACCTCCCCACTATTTCATGCATTGGTCTGTGTTGGGGAGGTCCTACTCTGGGTCAGACTCAGGAAGAAGTAGCACAGCTTGGAGCTTAAAGGCTGGGGCTCATTAGACCAGCTGTGTTCAAACCCTGGCTGTTTCACTTCAGGGCTGTGTGGTTTAGATGAGTAACTAAGCCTCAGTTTCCTCGTCTGTAAAGCTGGTTCATAATAGCATCTCCTGAGGGGGTCCCGGTTGGCATAGGGTTTCCCTGTCTGAAAAGCAGTTTTGTGTTTCCAAAAATTCAGAAACTAAGAAATGGGCCTTAAAGATAGTTTCTATGCAATGTCACCCCCACATCCTGCCACCTTTCTTTCCCTTAGCTCTCTTTTTTCAACTTTTGCACACATTTTCTCTTTGAGGGTTCCCACTTGGGTGTTGAGATGATATGGCTCCATGTTGTGCACATCCTGCAGAGGCAGGATGGACCCCTACCCAAAATTTGGCTTGAATGTCAAGACCAGTGATGCCACATACTCAACAAGAGGATATGAGAAGGTTTATTACTCACATAATGAGGCTTCCTGAGGGAGCAGGGGAGGCTTCCCAATCTGGCCCCAGAATGGCTGGAGAGAGGGGAAGGGAGACACACTTGGGGTTTTATTGTGGTTAGGAGGTGGGGTTGGAGTGAGGAAAAGATGTTGTATGGTTTGATCTTCTGGTACCAAAGAGAAGAGCCTCCAGGGCTTCTCATCAGTTTACCCAATGTGGGGCAGGAGGGGAAGAGGAAAGACTAAGACTTTAGAGCTGTCAGCATCCAACATCAAGACATGGAGTCAGATTCTATTACACTCTCAGGTGGGAGTTTGTGATTCATCTGCTGTGCAGAGAGTTGCTACCTGTGGAGACTTAAGAATTATCCCAACGTGTGAGGCCTTCTCTCAGATGCAGGAAGGGGGAGGAAGAAAGCAGGGAATTTATATATCATTGATACGTCACAACCCAGACATCTACAATTTTAAGTTGATTTGCTACCTGATCCCCTTATGCTTTTTACCCCGCGTTTGCACAAAGCAAAAACGTAAATTTACACTCGTCTTGCACAGTGCCAGGACAGCAAGCCCGTTTGGGATTTCCCTAACCTATTTGGATTTTTTGGTGCTTTGCTGAGGTGTGAGTCTGGGCTGAGGATGAACACCCATCTCCTCTTCCTGGCTGCTCTAGAATGGTTTTGTGTCCCCTTTTGCATGGCAAGACTGTCTTCCCTGTCAGATCCCTCCTCTTCCCTGGGACAATATGCTTCAGTGATGTGACCAAGTCTCACTAGTTTAAGGGTTGAAGTGGGAGTGGTGGGGGGGGGCGGGGGGATACCCAATAAATTACCAAGAGGGAAAGAAAGTAAAGAGAATATTTTTTAAAAAGTAAGTTTCATGTTTATCTCCTGTCAGAAGACAACTTTCTCTTCTTTTCCATTTAAAATAAAACTAAGGGGCGCCTGGCTAGCTCAGTCGGTGGAGCGTGAGACTCTTGATCTCGCAGTTGTGAGTTCAAGCCCCGCGTTGGGTGTGGAGTTTACCTAAAAATAAAATCTTGAAAAAAATAACAAAACAAAATAAAATAAAACTTTAAAATGCTCTTTGTTTTCTGGATTTGTCAGTTCTCCATGCTAATTTTTATTTTGTTTCTATCGTTTAGGTTTTACTGCCGCATATCCAACACAATCCTCCATTCCTTTTAAAAGCCAGACTTCAACAATTCTAGAATCAGAAAAAAAGGGATTCAACAGTCAAGCCAAGAGATTTTATTATAAAAAGGTAATGACATCGAATAGAGACTCTTCTAGTCTGGCTTTGAGCCTCAGGAGACAGGCTCACAAGTCGGGCTGGTGCAGTTATCACTGGGACCAGTAGAGGGCAGTGTCACCCAAGGAGCCACAGCCTCCTCCCCACTTGGGTGCTCTGAATCCTAAGAGTGAGTTGGGAAGGTATTAGATCCAGGGAGAACAGCGTCTGGACTTAGGGTGCCACTTTGAATGCCAAAAAACTATTTTTAAGAAGAAATGTATTTTAAAATTTATTATAAAAATATAAAATTCAAAAATTGCTGGTATATGAAGTAAAAAGTAAAAATCCTTTTCAACCCCCCACCCCCACCCCCACCCCCAGTTTCACTTCTCTTGACAGGAGAAGAGATATAAGGTTTTCTTCAAATAACACACTAGGAAAAACAAAAGAGTCAAATAAATTCTAAATGACCTATGTGATGAAGGCCCCCCTCCTCTTTTTAAAAAAGTTCCTTTAACTTCCTTCCTTATTACTGATCTTGTTTTTCCTCCGCCCTACCCTCTTCCCCACATATTTCTGCGTCCCTTTTCCTCTTTGATCTGGAAAATTCTGCTTGGCTCCTGATCCTCAGGCAGCTTGGCCTTTCACTGGCTGAAGGCCCAAGGGTCTGACCTTCTCTCTCTCACCAGCAGGGGGCTGAAGCACCTCACAGTCATCCTTAGAGTCTTTTAACATCTTCCTTCCTTTATTCATTTAACCAAGATCTTTAGAATAACATCCTTTTGAAGGAGTCATCATCTCGGCTATCTTTGTCTGCATTCTGAAAGTGGTTTTGATCCCATAACCTACCAAGATGGTGGAGAGGGAAGGAGGAGATGTAGGTGCTGAAGGCAAGTGAGTCAGACAGGACTTGGGGGGAGGGCTGTTGCTCAGCAAGCCCCTTTGCCCCTGGGCCTGTTCCTGCTTTGTAAACAAGAGTGCTGAATGAGAGAATGTTTAAGACCCTTTCACTTCTGACATTTTAGGATTCTGAGAAAGCAAATAATAAAGAATATAGTGTGGGTGTAGATGCACGCACACACACACACACACACACACACACACCACACACATTTTTAATTACTTGAAGGTTTTCCCCAAAGATGATAAATAAGATATTTGCTCAGGAGCTTCCTCTCTTCTCCCTCTAGTTTCTGGGTCTGTTTTAACTGTCCCTCTGTCTCTTGGGTTTGGTGTCGCGTTTGTCAAGCCAGTGATAATATATTGTCCATCTCTAGAACACTTGTAGTCCAGCCTCCAATAAAAGTAATAGCAGCCACAATTTACTGATGCCTTCTCTGTGTGCAGTCACTTTTAGACCACATCTCTAATCCTCAGAACAATGCTAAAAAGGAAGGGTTTATTATCTTAATTTAACAGGAGAGGAAATTGAGGCTTAGGAAAGTTAAATGACCCACCCAAGGTCATACAGCACAGGGCTTGGCGCATAAGAGGCCCGACATAAATATTTGCTGAATCAACGTGGAAAGAATTAGACCTCAAACCCAGGTCTAGCTCACTCCAAAGCCTCATGTTCTTTCCACACACAACCACACCCCCTTTTGTGGCCTGCGAAGCCCTACATTTGATTTCTGAAAGTCAGCAGGTATGTTTCTGAATAGGCCTTAGCAAAACAGCCCAAGCTCAAGAGAGGGAAAGATGTCAAGCAATGTGCGTAGGTGCCATTCTACGTGATCTAATTCTGAAGACTGAAATCCTGAAACCGAAGAGGGCATCATTTCGAGTTAGTGTTCTAGCTATTATTGCTCTTCAGAAAAGTTTCTGCTGAAGGAACCAAGGTGGCAGACAGCCAAGGCTACAGGCAGCATCAAATACAGAAAAGAAATCATTCAGAAGTTTGATTCGCACTTTCCACATGTAGTCAGCATCGGTTTAACAACATGGAAGCTTTCAACTAAGCATTTGAAAGTCTTCTGTAAAGAAGGATGGAATTTTGTGGCAAGAGCATGGGATCCGTAAATCAGGTCCCTGTGCTCTGCCCCGTTGAAGAGCTGTGCATCCTTAGACTAGTCCCTTGGCTTTTTTTTTTTTTTTTAAACTTGAAGCTTTTTTTTTTTTTTAAGATTTTATTTATTTATTCATAAGAGACACAGAGAGAGGCAGAGACACAGGCAGAGGGAGAAGCAGGCTCCATGTAGGGAGCCCGATGTGGGACTCGATCCCAGGACTCCAGGATCAGGCCCTGGGCTGAAGGCGGCACTAAACCGCTGAGCCACTCAGGGATCCCTTGTCTCTTGGCTTTTCAGAACTTCAGCTTCCTCATCTGAAACATCAGAAAAATTTGGGCTATATCATTTTTTAGGTTCGTCAAGCTATGAAAAGAGAGAGAGAGGGAAAACTTTCTTGTCCCATGCTCATTATTCTCATTTTTCTTGAAGGAAACGGACACGGAGAAGTTAAAGATCTTGTTTAACATCACCCAATAATTTAGTGAGGCAATGCAAATTAAAAACAGATTTTAAAACTCTGGTGTTTCACCACCCTTCTTAGAACATTAATCATCCACACCCTGAGCCTGATCTCATAACTTGGTTGTATCCGCACAATAGTTCTGTGACCCATTTAGCACATCTTTAACACAGAGCATCGGCGTCTTGTGCAATGTGCGCTTACCTTATCAGTCTAACCTTGTGGGGAAACACTGCCCAGCTCGCATGCCCTGTATGGATCTGAGTCCTGGGTACAGGGAATCCTTCGTAGAGCTTGGTTTCAGGACTGGCAGTTGGTGCTGCTAGAAACGAAGTCTGCTTCCCTGCACATTTTAGGATTATTTCCAGATGTGTGGGTGACTCTGTGTGCATGAGGAGACATGCCTAATCCGGGACAGAATGTAGCCCAGGAGCCCGAATGTAGCCCAGGAGCCCGATGGACATTTTCTTCCTCCCCCTCCCTCTTTCCCATCTTCCTCTGGACGGTGGCCACTGCTTTCCAAGCTGTGTAATGCTAACAATATCTTCGCATCATTTTAAGAGCAAGGATGTTATAATAGGCAGGCCCTTGCCGGGGATGACTGTTCCGTGATTCTAAACCTGACTTATCCCTTCCAGACTTAAATGAATGAATGCTGGTAGCGTGTGGGCACTGTATCTTCTAGATGGGTGCAATTTAAAAATACATGTGACATTTATATGTCGGGCCCAACAGTAAGTCCACCCTCCCACATGGTATATAGGCCTGTGTTTAATTTGTGGTGAACTTGTATGAAGTTAATAATATTTCACTTATTAACTTGGCAAGGCACTGGACCAGGGATATTTTACATGTCCAGGATATTTAAGTGAAAGGAAGTTCAGTCTGCAGGGACTGCCATGTTCAAGGGGATAATTACCCCAAGTGTACGCTCAGCTGCGCGTTTGAACCATAGTAGGGCCCTGCCTGACCTTTCTGCCCTGGAAGCCTGATTTCTCCATATCATCACCGGCACACCTCCCTAAGGAGACTGTAGTATATGTTCCTAGAAATAACAAACACTTGGCTGGCACTGACCACATGCCAGGCACCCCTCGAAGACTTTTGCATTTATTAACTCATTTAATCCCCATAATAACCCTGTGAAGTGAGTCTTATCATTATCCCTGATTTCTACATAATGACCCTGAGACACAAAGAGGATTGAGTAACTTGTACAGCCAGGGTCAGGCAAGAGTAAGGATGGGCTCAGGCAGTAGCTCCTGGTTCCCAGACACTGTTCCATGTGTCTCCTCGGGACGGAAGCAATGACACCTCCTCTGTGCTCTGACAGCTGCTCCTGTGCCCCTGGCCACCTTCTGCTTGGCCTGATGGTAGTAGGTGTGTACGTTGTGAAGTCTTGGGGTCATCGGTGTGCTTTCCTCACCCTAGCACCCCTCAAAAGTGCACAGAGCAAATGAACCCCACTCCAGTCTCCACATTCATTGAGTCATGGAACACACCCCATCCGTTCGTGCACGTCCATCCCACTCCTAGAACGTGTGAGCTAACAGGTTGTGCTGTGTCTTCACACCTTAGCACAGGCTCTGGTCCGCAGGAGCTTGCCATGTGTGTTTGTTAAGTTTTTGCCAATATTCCAGTTGGGGGATTTCAAGGGGCTGCTAATAAACTGATACCAGATTCGAGCAAGAGGAGGGCTCTGAAAAAAAGAGGAGCAGGGGTGCTCTCGGGGGCAATACCCTCAATAACCGGTGCTTCAAAAATGAGGGCTTGACTTCTCTTGTCTATGTTTGTAACCCAGCCTGCCGGGCCAGCTGTGGCCAAAGACCTTGGGCCCATTCTAATCTGGCAGGCGGCCAGTGACCCCACTGCGCTGGCTTCCTCACACTTACCTGAGTGACTCAGAAACAATCTCCTCAAGAGACTGCATCCCATTCTCCTGCTTGTTCCTTAGGGCTCCCAGAGAACTTTCCTTTCTGATATCCTCCCCCATTCTGAACAAAAATGTGGTGTTTCCCTGCATGGAGGATGTTCCCTCCCTTTTCAGCTGTGATCAGAGGTGTGGGAACTTTGAGGCCAGACAGAAATATATGTGGGGTGAGGTAGGTGGGGAGAGAAAGCAGGGAGGGGGAAGGGTGTCTTACAAGGAATGAATCTGAGTCTGAGATAGTTTGAACCAGAAGGGCCTCGGTGGCCCTGCATCCCCGGAGTCAGCAGAAGGACCCTTTCTGTGATGGTGTCTCACAGTGAAGCCCACTGGTAGGCCAGGTAGAGGCAACACTGGTGCTCAAAAGTGCTGCCAACTCCGGGCCCCTCTCCCTGGCTCCCTGGTGGATTCCTGAGATGAGGTCTGAAAACCACAGATCCTGACAGCCACCCCACACACCTCCTTGCAGGTTCACAGATGAGGGGCAGGAGGTCCAGTAAGGGGATGTGCCCTGGGGACAGATGCCAGCTCTCCCACCGTGCAGTCAGTGCTGTCCTCATCACTTTGGCCACGTCAACCTGAGGGAAAGCTTTCTGGTTTCAACGAAGTCAACAAGGTCGATGGACTCATTGTCCCAAGCCCCTAAAACTAGAGGCATTTGTACAAAAGAAATCGTTCCCTCAAGAGCCCTAAATCCCTGTGTGGTAAAACCAGTGGGTTAGCCATAGCACAGGGGTCTGCTTCCACCTCAGGCACGTCCTCCTCCTGTTAGATACTTCTAAGCCCTTCAGCAGACCCCTGATTTTCATTCATTCTGTCTGCTCCGGAGCAAAGCCAACTTGCCAGCCCCAAAATAGACCGAAGCAAGTTGAAATATCTTTGAAGAGTCAAAAGGCAGCTCTAGTGTGGTCTTTGGTCAATGATCCAACAGAGACTACGCTTCCCAAGCCAAGAAATGGATCAACAAACCACTGATTTGAAAGTATTAATTGAACAGAACTTCTGAAATCAGGGCTAGAACCTTCAGGCTCTCTCTATAAATGGCTCCAGGTTACTTCCCAGAGTAACCTGGAGTATATGGGCAACACTTCCTATAACCTATGGACATATCTAGGGTGAGGAGGTACATGCCCTGCTCCCTGTTGCCGCCGCCTCATTGCCTGTCTAACCTATCCCAAGGTTGAGTGAACATAGATCTTTGTCCCACCCGTGGTACCTGCAGAGGCTGCCATTTGGGACTCTAATCCTTCCAAAGGGCTCTCAAAGTGCATTTCAACCAAATGTCACCTAGATATGTGTTGGGTCAAGGGGTGGGAGCACATCAACTCGTCCTCCCATGGTCACTCCCACTCTCAAGGTCTTTTACCCCCATGGGAAGCTTTGGCTCCATCGCAGATGTCTTGGGCAATGCCAAGAGTAGTGGCCACACACCGGCGCTGCTCTCACCCTTCTGCAGGAATCGTGAATCAAACCCACTCAATCCTCACACTGTGGGGAGGCCTGGAAGACAACAGTATGGGATCCACATGGTCCTCTTGGCACTGGGCAGGCAGTCAGCCAACCTCAGCTAAATAGTTCTCTTCCCTTCTCCCTCACTACACCCATTTTTGCTTTGTCTGTTTATTTCGTTTTTGCCTTCTGGGGTGGTCTTGGCTAAGAAAACTTGGTTTTGCAGCTAAGTTCACTCCAGTTCCAATCACTTGGATTCTTACTCCTGGGATCCACCCTGAGAGGTCTAAACTCACCCAAGTCACAAAAAGTCGTATGAACTGTTACCCAGAAGTGGAAGTTCTGGATTTTTATTGCCCTCCCAGCCAGCCATTCACCAGTTGCAGGAGAAAGCCTGAAGGCTCTGCAGTTGGAAGTCTCCCTCTGAAGAGCTTAAAAACCTACCTGCGTGTCGTGGGAAGGCAGCGGCGCGCTGGTAAACCAGCTGTCCTCTCCACAAAGGAAAGTTCTGATTTACGGCATTTGCCAATTTCTGCGGTGTAAATACTCCCACCTTGCTTTCAATCTACCACCAGCAAAATCTCTGACATTCTAACAGTAACCCTCTCAAGCTGCCACGGGCTGGCTGCAGCATAGTGCTGCCTCTTTTCAGAAATATCCTTAAGAGTGAACAGACAGTCCTCTCTCCCTCCAGGCTAAGAGGCGACAGCCCTCTTCATATTTGGCCTGGACTCGAACCAGTTTGCAACATAGCAGAAGTAAAACATGATCAAGGTCCGGTGGGGTTGCCAGAGTTAGCAAATAAAAACACAAGATTTCTAGTTAATGTAGAATTTCAGATAAATAGCAACTATTTTAGTATAAGTATATCCCAAATATTGCATGGGATATACTTACACTAAAATAGCTTTTCGCTGTTTATCTGAAGTTCAAATTTAACTGGCAGAGTAGGAGGGAGCAGCCTTGCACGTCTTGTATTTTATTAGGCAATTCTAGCTCCTCAGACACAGGTAGGTGCCGGGAAAGTTTGTGTGAACTGATGATGGCAGTATGGAGTGTGGCGTAGACTGGAAGCTGGAGGTGCGTGTCTTCCTTATTCACTATTTAAACCTGGAAGAGTTACATGTCCTGCCTCAGCTCTTTGATTTAGGGGCTCTTGAAGCCAAGAGACACCCAAAGGCATTGAATACAATATCTTTGATTTACAAATGAGGAAACTGAGGCCCAGCCATGTGACTTGCTCAAGGTCATTTAGCTCTTAGCAGCATTAAGACTAAAATTTCCTGATTCAAACTCAGTGGGATTTTTTTTCTTTTATCCTATACATTCTCATTTGAAAATCAGTTTGGTTTAGTAGGTAAGAGTAGACTCTGTATGTGTATTGGGGTGGGCAAAATGGGTGAAGGGAGTCAAAAGGTACAAACTTCTAGTTATAAATAAGTCATGGGGATGTAACGTACAGTGTGGCAACTACAGTTAGCAATACTGTATTGCATTTTGGGAGTTGCTAAGAGAGATCTTAAAAGTTCTTAAAAGAACTACTAGATCTTAAAAGTTCTCATCACAAGACAAAAATTCTGTAACTGTGTATGGTGATAGATGTTAACTGGACTGACTGTGGCGATCACTTTCCAGTGTGTACAAATATTGAACCATTATGCCATATACACAAAACTAACATAATGTTATGTGTCAATCGTACCTCGATTAAAAAAAAAGTAGATTTTGTACTAAGACCACCTGGGTTCAAATTCTGGCTCTGATAGTTTCTAGCCATGTGACCTTGAGACTTATCTCTTCCCATCTTTAAAATGGGGATTAGGAAAAAAAATAATAAAATAAAATGGGGATTAGGGATGCCTGGGTGGCTCAGCGGTCAGGTGTCTGCCTTCGGCTCAGGGCACGATTTCAGGGTCCTAGGATCAAATCCTGCATCAGGCTCTCTGCTCTGTGGGGTGTCTGCTTCTCCCTCTCCCTCTTTCCCTCACCCCCACTAGTGCTCTCTCTCTCTCACTTGCTCTGCTCTCTCTCAAATAAATAAATAAATAAAATCTTTAAAATAAAATGGGGACTAAATGAGTTACTGCATGTAAAGTACTCAGAACAGTGCCTGGCACACAGTGAGCAGCTACTCAATAAATAAATGCTAAGCCCACAAACAGCTGCCTAGAAAAATCTCTTCCTTGTTTTTCTGTAGCTCCTTGAATCTGCTCCCTCGTGCCAGATTTCTTCTGAACTTGGCCTAGGGTGGTGGTGCACCTACTTCTATTGCATGTCTCATGGCCTGCCCCACTCTCCCTGGTGATCAGCCCCCGAACTCTGGGCACCCCAAATCATCACCACCTACAAAGTGGGAATCAGCGTCCCTGTATCTACCTGCTTCGAGCAACGCTCAAAGGATTACACTGCATTTAAAATTCACCACAGGGACACCTGGGTGGCTCAGCAGTTAAGCATCTGCCTTTGGCTCAGGGCATGATCCTGGGGTCCCGGGGATCGAGTGCCATATCCGGCTCCCTGCAAAGAGCCTGCTTCTCCCTCCGCCTGTGTCTCTGCCTCTCTGTGTGTGTCTCTCGTGAGTAAATAAAATCTTTAAAATAAAATAAAATTCAGCACAGAAGAACCTGTTAATCTCACTGATGGCCCTATCTTATATATTAAACCATAATCACACACTGCTCAGGCCAGACTGGAAAGTCCTAGAAGGCCCTGGTAGCACCTTAAGCTTTCTTTCTGCCTTACGGAAGGTAGTAGGGATGGTGGAGCCAGGATGAGCCTGGGTGGCAGAGGTTGAGACAGCAAGCTCTGCAGTTGGGCTGCCTGGATTAAAATCTAGCCTTTGCCATTTGCTACATGTGGACCAAATGTCTCTGGGCCTTACTTTCCTTAAAATGGACTTTATAACACCTCCCACTGCAAAGAGTTTGTGTTCATCATGTCCTTAGCACTGAATTCAGGGACTGCCACTTGTAGCATTGGGATATTGGGCAAATTCATCTCTACTTGCCTCAGTGTCTCCATCTGTAAAATGGGAATTATAACTCCTTTCTTGTTGGAGGATTAAATGAAGCAATCTTTTTTTTTGAGATTATATGTATTTATTTGAGAGAGAGAGATAGCAAGAGAGCACAAGTGGAGAGGAGGGGGAGAAGCAGGCTCCCCACTGAGCAGGTAACCCAATGTGGGACTCCATCCCAGGACTCTGGGATCATGACCTGAGCTGAAGGTAGAGGCTTGACTGACTGAGCCACCAGGTGCCCCTAAATGAAGCAACCTTTGAAAAGCTCCTGGCATCAAGTAGGTACCTAGTACTCTCCAGACAGTAGAACATCCTTATCATTTCATGCCACTTGCTTGGCCAACATCTGTCAACATATACTTTCCCCCTGGTAGCTAGCCTGGGAAATGAGATGAAAGCTCAATTAACTGCAAAAGCAGAAATGGGCTTAGAAACCAAGCTTCTGTTTATTCCTCTCTATCATACCTGCATCATTTAGCATGTGAGCCTCACGAGCCTGCCTCTCTTTGTTTGAGAATTAGAAATGCTCTTGTTTGGGATGAAGGTTGTTTTTGTTTCATTTTGCTTTATAAACAGAAACACTCCCTGATTTCTCTTCTGAGAGGTTGAGGAGGAAGCTGAGTCAGGTGGGTGCGGCTAACGTGAAATCGGTCATCATTCCCTCCCCTTGGGTTTGGCTTCCCCATTCAGCACACACTGACTTGCATATCAACCACACCGAAGATCCCATCTTATGCTTGTTTCTCTAATGGCATGAAAAACACAACAGCATTCTTCTCAAATGCAGGGCGACCTGGTGGAGAGAGCCAGGGCTTTGGGGGACCCAGACCCAGGCTGGAATTCCAACCCTAGCACTTGGTAACTGAGACAGTGAGTGGGCAGGTTAGGAAATGGTGGAGCCAGGCTATCACCCGTGAAGTGGTGGTGGTGCCTATCCCAGAGGATTGCATGAGGCTTAGTGTTAATGGATATAAGGCTTGCCAAAAAGCACAGTGGAAATGACACCCTGTTCTCTTCCTTTCAGGATGGTATTCCAGGTCCCGGGTTCTATGACGTCATTCACCAATCTCCAGTGTTCAACAATGTCTCATTGTCTAAGAAAGGGACATGCACTTTTCCCTCTATGGTGAGAACCCCTTCCTTGAGTAAGGCCACTAGTGGATCAGTAATTTCCTTTGTTCATTGCATAAACATGCATTGGACATCTGGTCCCTTCTCTCCAAAGGCCATGGTTCTAATTAGGAGAATAACTACTGCCTCAGGTGTCATGCAGGTAAATTAGAGCCTGGGTCTTTAAGTCATGCCCCCCCCCCACTACCTCCACCAGTGTGGGAAGAGAGGCTGGGGGGGGGGCGGAATATATAGGACCTGATCATCCTTGTCAATTTTGTCATCATGAAGTGGGCTAAGCAGATGTTTTCCTGAGATTCTGAGGCACTAGGAAAAAGATCTCGCCTTAATATGATGTTTTATACTGCTTGGTCTAAATTGGGTTATTCAAATTATTGAGAAATCTGCTGGGAGCAAAATGAGAGCAGGCAACAGGCTGAAATGTAGTGATCTTCCTCCCCTCTCTACTTCCATTCTTTGTAAGAGATTGGTCTTTATCTTTGTGAATGGCTCTAAGAATCAAGGAGCTATATGAAATGCCAATGTCCCTGGCCAGACTTGGGCAAGGATTTGTTGTTGTTCTTGTTCTTAATTTGAGTATTTATAAATTGACCAGAAGAAGAGATACAGAAAGGGGAAAGGGATCAAACTGGGGTAAAACTAGCTGAGGTAGAAAAGTGAAAAAGAAAGCAAACACAAACTAGCAGCAACAAAACACATATGCCATCTGTCTCTTTAAAAATTATAAAAATTATAATAATCTATTGCAAAGATGTACTATAATGCCTGACAATGGAACTGATTTCAAAACAAAACAAAACACCACACAAAGGGCCCATTTAAGACACACTGAATGCAGCCGCTTACTGGAATTTGACTTTGGCAGAACTGACTTTGGAGCTAGCTCTAGTCTCAGCAGAGACGTGGACGTCACACATGCCCTTAGTGAGCTCACAGAACAACCATGCCTCTGCCTCTTTTTCTGCCCCAAGCCCTGCACATAAAGAGACCTGAAAGCAATCAGCAACAGAAGTGCCATCTCACAAAGTCTTGGCACAGGAGACAAGACTTAAGACCTGAGCCTGACTCAGCTGAGGATTCTTGATGTGACCTCAAGCACGTCACCCTTCTGTGTCCCAGCTACCTCATAAAAGTGGAGACTCCCTGGAGGCTCTGGGCAATGAGTGAAATGCCCTTTGAAACTGCAGAGTATTGTAAACATGTTAAATATTATGAGTGTTACCACCTGAGTCACAAACAAGACCTCCTGCAACTCCTAGGTTCTCTCTCTGAGAAATTCTCTGCCATACAGTGAGTGGCACTGCCCATTCCTGCTTGGTGCCAAAGAAGGGACAAAATTAGAGCACACAATCAACTCCCTACTAGGCTTTGTTGGCAGTAACTTTCCAAACGACGAGGCCGGGCCGTCTGGAGGAGAAGAGGCCCAAGGGAAGGTCCGAGTATTACAGAATCTAATCAAGCCTGTCAGGTCTTTAAAAAAAATTCAGACCAAACCCAAAAGAAAGCAGACATTAAGTTGTGCAGACTTCCCCTCCCTGCTTTGATGGATGGAATTTATATTTACAGACATTTAGGTTCTTATAACCAGCCTGCGGTGGCCAAAGGAGATCAGTTAGGAGACCCCACATCTTACCTACTTCTTTTCCACACCGATGTGAATTTCATGCCTTTGCCGCCCCCCCCCCCCAACCCTTGGTGACTTTCACATGTGGCACTTCCTCCATTTCTGGATCTGAGGACTCTGAGTGTATGAAAAGTAACCCTCATCAGAGAAAGATCTGCCTGACACTGGTATAGCCAGGAGGAGTGTGATTGTAGATGAGGCTGACCAGAAAACTCTGTGGATCTATAAATTCTAGAAACTTCCTGATGACTGTTGTCACCACTACACCCAACCTTTGGAGTGGATTTGTCATCTTGCTAAGTCCAAATAATTTAAAGAGCTTCATTAATGTATTCTAAATCTTTGCTCCAGGATTATTCATGAGGCTGACAGGAGGTTAAATGAGGCAAGTGGGAGGAGACTTTCATGGCCTTTCTCTATTTGCATGGTGGCAGGAGTGGTTCTGGAAAAATTAGTAGGTGGTGGAAAGAGGTTCACGGATGCCAGCATTGCGGCCAGATTGGAGCCTACAGGCCCGGCAATTAAAAGAAAGTCAAGGGGTGGGGAAGGTTGCATGAGTGAGTGTTTTTTTGTTCATCTGTATTCTGAGACAAATTCTATTACAATGCTTTATGAAACTTTGCCTCCAATGAACAATTAAAGCAGGTTTTTCCCCCCAAAAGTGTGTTATTAAGTATTCTAGGCCAAAGAGATTCTACGATTTAGTAAGTTGCAGAAAAGACTGGTTATGTCAAGTTAGGCTTGTTTATTGTAGGATTTCTCAGGGTACTTAATATGGTGGTGTGTATTATCAATCTTCAAAGTGGGAACACGCTATGAGGCTTCTCAAGTTTATTTGGCTTTGGAACTCTCTCCCTGCTTCTGCCACCACCAACACTAGTTTATAGAACTGGTATGCCAAGAAACACTTTGGGATATAGTGCTTTAGAAAAACGTGCTTGCCTCATCTGTTGGGTGAGTCAAGATAGACATGCTACAAATGGTACCACTGGGGATGGTTTCACCTTACCGCCTCCTTCTATGGAAGTAAAAAGGAAAGATGTGCCTATCCCATTGGACAGCGGAGAGAGAGAGGGTAGTGATTCTCCTTGAACTAGAACATCCCAGAGTCATTTATCAGCTGCTCATCTTGTAAATGAAAACATGTTTATTCCTTTTGACTTTTCCTCTTTAGAATGGATATCTAATTTATATCATATAGTGGGGGCAGACTGCCTGGATAATAATGTTGGTTCCACCTTCAACTAGCAGACAAGGTCCAGTGTCCTCATCCAGAAAGTGGGGATAATCATCATATCCACTCCCCAGGTTTTTTATGAGGATTAAGTGCCACAATCCATGGAAAGGACTCAGTTAACTATTGCCCCAAATGCAAAGGCAAAGAACATAGAGGGCAGGGGTGACCTTACTTCTGGGAACATCAGTGAATCCTGACAATTGGGAGAAGGCCGACTTGGAACTTGACCCTGGGTTAGACTCTGAACAGCTGAGACTCTGGATGAGAACATTTTGGCCCCTGGGAGCACATCCACCCGTATGCCATCGTGGTCCAAATAGTGAGAACCACTGCCACCGAGTGCAGGGTGAGGAGCTGGTGGGGGTGAGGGCTAATGCCTTCCCATAGCCTCACCCACTTTCTGTGCTTGTTTAGCAATTGACCCCTATCCAGCTGAGGACACCTGGGACGATGTTCTCAAGCTTTTAACCATAAAATAATAAGAATTTTTTGTTTGCTTTATCAGACTCCAATACTTGCCATACCGTCCTAGTGTAAAGTGATGTTATCACTTAGTTTCTATGGCTTTTGCCCATTTTCATTTGGCAAACATTGATTCTGGTGTTGTGTGTTTTTTTTTTAACCTGAAAATAATTTATTATGGCTTCCTGGAAGGAGTAAGATTGGTTTTACTGAAACAAAAATACTGTAGGGTTCTGTGAAATCAGCAATTAGGGGGCACCTGGTGACTCAGTCAGTTAAGCATCTGCCTTCAGTTTAGGTTATTATCTTAGGGTCCTGCAATCGACCCCCTCTGGCAGACTCCCTGCTCAGTGGGGGGGTCTGCTTCTCCCTCTTCCTCTGCCCCTCCCCCTGCTTATGCTTTCTCTCTCAAATAAATCTTAAAAAAAAAAAAAAAGAAATGAGCAATTAGGTGGAAGGTAGGAGGCATGTGTGGACAGCAAGTCCCATCGACCCTTGTGCCTTTAAGACATTAGAAGCAAACCTATTATTTAAGCAATTCAGATTACTTAATCTTAGAAACAAGACATGAGGTTTTACTCAGAAGGAAAGCCTTGGCTGCAGGAAGAAAGTCTAAAGCTTCCCATCGTATAAATTACCCAACAGCTGATGAGTCAAGTGTAAGTGGCCTGAAACGGGATTGGGTGGCAATGCATTTATGGCAAAATTATTTTTGCCAAGTCCCAAATGTAAGATGAATAATTTGAGTTAGTTTACAGAAGTTAAAACGGGTCAGAACTTGCATTCTCGAAGAGCAAATCCTCAAAGCCTGAGGTCAGTTTATCATTGTTACCTGCTAGAGTTTCAGCTTTTGCAAAATGCTTTTAGACCTGGGGCTGGACACCATCCCTTTGACATCTGTCCTGTAGAGCCAAGGGACTATGGGAGAGCATTGATTCCTTTGGCTTTGTCCTTGCAGTGTGCCCGACTGGACACCATCATTTCTAAATCCCCTGCAGCGAACACATACACTATCCCATCACGTTTTGTCTCGAAGAAAGACTTCAGTAATTCCTGTTCCAGCATGTTCCAGTTGCCAAGCTTTGCAAAAGTCCTCAAATTTGAAACTCCTGCACCAAACCATTACAATGTAAGAATGTTGCATATGCTTCTCAAATACATATTGAATAAATGCTTTACTAAAATAAATGAAGGTGGGGTTGGAGGGAATGCTTTGGGAAATAGCATTTTAATTCAACTGACAAACCAGTTAACAGTGGTTGACTGCCTAGTGGATACATGAGGCTGTGCATGGCTTTATAGAGAATTTGCAGAACCCAGAGAAAAATGTGAGCAACACGGAGGTCAGTGGGAAGCAGTGGGAAGACCACACCCTGGAAAATCCTCACTATAATCACTCCTATCACAAGACTTTTCTGGGACAGTTTTCTTATCCATAATAAGTATATTATTTCCCACTTTATTTACAGTCACCATCCATTTACTTTTAGGTCTTATAGGGAAAGTAAATTTCCATATTTCCATATTGGAAATTGTTTTTTTAATATAATGCTCTGCCAATTACAATCACTCTGTAGTCACGGAGGGAGAACAGTATGATTAATGGTTGAGAGATGGAGTTGGATTGAAATGTTGACTCTGCCTCTTTGTAACTGCGTGGCTCTGGGCAAGTCCCTTTAGCTTTCAGGACTCAGGTTATTGATCTGCAAAATGGGGAAATGTGTCCACTTCACAGTATTAATGCAGATGTTAAATTAAGTCATCCAAGCTGAGTTCTTAGCCCAGCCCCTGGCGCACAAGGATTCCGCCATCAGTGGAGACACCAAATGTCTTTGGGGAAATCACGTTACCTCTTGAGCCTCAGTTGTAAAATGGAACCAATTATACTCACCCTCTAGGGTTATTATAAAAAGCAAATGAGACAACAAATGTGGAAACACTCTAAAATACATAAGAAATTAATTGTATGGAAGGTATTTATATTATTATGACATATGACAAAATATTTTGGTCTTAGAGTATATCATTTTTAATTTCCTTTTTCTTTTATAATACTTATAAGTAATAGTTGTTTTTCTGACTATAAAGATCCTGCCTGAGATTGATCCAATCAATTATAACGTGCTCAAAGTGATTTACCTACCTGCTAGGCCAGCACAGTCCAACAGAAATATATGGGAGCACATACATCATTAAAATTTTCCCAGTAGGAATATTTTTAATAAATAAAATAAAATAAATAAATGAATAAATTTTCCCAGTAGCCACATTTGAAAGTAAAAAGGAACAGATAAAATCAATTTTAAGAATATATTCTACTTAACCCAATATATTCAAAATATTATTTCAATATCTAATCAGTATACAAATAAATTAATGTTTTACATTCTTTCCATCTATCTTTACAATCCAGTGTGTATTTTATACTTTCAGCACATGCTGATTTGGACCAGCCATGTTTCCAGTGCTTGATAGTCAATGGCTGCTATATTAGAGAGCACAGCTCTAGATAGTCTATGCCTGGGATAACCAGCATCTGAAAATAATGATGATGATGGTGATGATGATGATGATGATGATTATAAGTAGTTTTCAAGGCCTCTGTGCTGTTCTAAGCATTATGTATTCAATACTGTATTTAATATTCACAAGAGTCCATGGAAGTGGGTTATCTTTTTTTTCAATTCACAGAAAAGGAAGCTGAGCTCAGGGAAGGGAAGGGATTTACCCTAATTTACCCCACTCAAAGGGACCATTTGCATATCAGTGAGCACAGGTGGATGGCTGAGATAGACAGCTGGAAAGTGATCACTCAGATAGACAGCTGGAAAGTGATCACTCATCATGTTCCAGCCCTGCTGGGTCTCCCTTCGTGGATCCTGTGGTTACTCTGTCCTAGACCAGTGATATAGCTTAGATTCCGGTGGGGAACTCAAGACAAAACTGGTAAACAGGCAAGCAAAATCATTACAAACTATGGCCAGCTTTGAGGCAGACAAATAGTTGGAGCCTGAGAGATAGAATATGTGGGGGTTGACAGCATTGTGTACTTTAGACTGGGTGGTCAGAGAAGGCTCTGAGGCTGAGACCCAAAAATTGATGGAAGAGCCAGAGTTGAGGGAATAGCAGGTACAAAGGTCCTGGGACAGCAAGCAGCTTGAGCCCTGGGGAACTACAAGAAGGTAGCTGGAGTAGCATTAGCTAGGAGGAAAGGGGATAAGGGGAAGCCAGATGGGTAGGCAGGGGGCAGTTCATTCAGGACCCTAAAAGCCCTGGGAGGGATCTTTAATTTGGTTCTCTGTGGGAAGCCTTTGAGAAGGATGACATCATCTGATATACTTTTTCAACAAGCCCTCTCCAGCAGTCATAAGGAGAATGGACCACAGTGTGGGTAGAGTAGATTTTGAAAAACTAGTTAGGAAGCTGTTATGCTGACAGGAGAAAGGTCAAGGCCTGGTCCAAGAAACTGATAATGATGGTCCTTGGCCGCTGTACCCTTGCTATTCCTGAGAGAGGTAGTTAGTGTTTCATGCATCTGCTTCCGCAACCTCCTCTGGGTGTCTCCACCTGGCATCGTATGTATCTCCAGTGTCCCACACAGATCCTGGCAATAAATGCTTATGACATTGAAGGAACTACCCCCCGAGGTATGTAGTTGTTAAACTAGAAAAGGCCATTTCCCAAGTCAGAGCTCAGACCTTCTGCCAATGCATCCGTTTTAAGTGCATGGTTTTTGTGAGTTATTGTTTTCATGTGACTGTGAAAATAATTCATGCTCTTCATAAAATATATCCACGCATTTTAGAGACTGATGAACCAGAAAAATAGAATTCTCTTATAATTCTGCCCTTTAAAGCAACCCACCATCAAAAACAGGTGCAGTTTCTTTCAGTCTCTTCTTCCCCCCATCCCTACCTCCAGCATTAGGATTACACTATCTGCAGTATATGTGCATTTTCTACTCAACTATATCTTGGATTTTTTTTTCCCATCATGATACAGTAAACCTGCTTCATTTTTTTTTCAACCTGCCAGTGGAGCTAGCTGACTGTTTTCCTCGTCTAATGGTGAAATCTTCCAGTGACATGCACTCAGAGTATACACAAATGCTCCCTCCTTCAGTTGTTTTTCTGTCTGGATGAGGAATAAGGCTGAAATCGTGTTTTGTCTACAAGAGGCTTTTTTCAGACCTAGAGAACAATGGTTGAGTCAACTGGCAAGAAGCAGAAATGTGATAATCCTGTTAGCCACACTGCAGGCGAGGTCAATCAGGGCCTTTCTTTTGCCTTTGCTTACCTCGATCCCCCACCTCTCTGTTTGAATCCTTTTTCCCCATACTGTGTTATTACTTCCTCTCCGGCAACCTGGCTCCTGTCCCTCTGTCCAGTAATTAGCCTCCTCCATCTGATGTTTTTGTTTGCCCTCCCTGCACGCATTCTAGCCATTAGGACCCTGGGAAAAAGCTAAATTCCTCCACCTTTGTAAACACAAAATCAAAATGCCATCTGCATTTCTTGAGAAACATTTTTTTGACAAAGGAGTATCTCAGAAAAATCAAACCATCCTGGCCCCAGCAAATAGTTTCACTCATTCAGTAAATATTCTTGGTCACTGCATTCACGATTTTTATTGCATCTTTATCTAATGAATACAAGGGACTGACTGCAAATTGGTATTTAAAACATTTATGATTCACATATAACAGAAGAATGATCTCAGGGTTCTTTTTTTCTTTTTGTTCCTTCCTCTCTCTCTCCTATTGTTTCTAGAGTGCCAAACATGCTGTATATTGCGTGGATCAGTCAAAATTCTTAATTTCTGGTCAGTCCAGAAAAGTCGAGACGAGGGAGTGCTACAGATCTGATCATAATCTTAAATTACATGATGTCCTTGTGAACCCCAAATCTTGCGTTTGTCGGAGGGCTGTTTGAACAGTAAGGAATCAGGGTGGGGATATGTAGGACTAAGTGTCCTGAAAGGAATAAAAGTCATAGAAAAAATAAGGAAAACAATGTGCATAGTCAGTGTTATGGACTTGAAAAAAGACACTGTCCTACAGGTGATGTCTGTTGACTGCTGGGGTTACCTGATGTGTTTCACGGGCGAGAAACCCCAAGTTCAGAGGAATTGAACAACTTGTACAGGATCACGCCCTGTGTGGGGCAGACACAAGCCTGGCAACCAGCTCTTTCGGGCTCTCTTCCCAGCACCGTCCTCTGTGCCATGTGGGGTGACCAGACCTCTGCTGGCGATCACAAACTCCTCGGCTACTCTGGCTGGGGTGATGGTGAAGGCACAGTCAGGATGCGGGGAGGGTGGGTGGCTTTTCCACTCATGTCTGTTCATGTTCTGAGGACAGGTTTAAATGCAATATTTTACCCCAATGTGCCACCTGTCCAGACCTGATGACAAAGAAAGGGAAGGTGTCAGGCACACCATGCTTGAGCTCTCCCTCTTCCTCTTCCCAGGCCTCTGTCTCTTGCTGCAAGCAGAGAAACAACGTCTCTGCCCGAGCCGGGTTTGTGTCCAAAACCCAGAGAGGATTTTTCACTATCCCTGAAACAGGACCTGCCCCAGGTAAGCAGCCACCCTGCACACCGGCCTTGACCTAAGGTTAATGTACCAGAGCTGCTCTGCGGGGTACCATTGCTGCATTGGGAGTCTCTTTGGAAGGAGTTATGCTTTGTGGGGAAAGGGGACATTGGCCAGGTGTTGAACAAAAAGGAGAAAGCTGAGGAGAAGACCTGGTCTCCTCCTTAAGAAGGAGGGCTGCTCTGGCGATGGCCCCCAAAGCAGCCTGTTGGCCTCCTCTTTCATGACCAGACATACCCAATCTGGGCCACCAGATGGGGAAGCAGCTTCTCACCCCAAGCGTGCACATTCGCACGCCCCAGGTGTTGTCACAGGCCACCGGGGGGCACTACTGAGTGTCCAGATGCTTCCTTTTCTTCTTAGCCTGGAGGTGACTTCACCAACTAGTCACCCAAGAGGGTAAGATGGCTCCATTTACTGAGTGCCTACTCCGAGCTAAGCATTTTCCCTGTAGTCCCCACACATCTGTCTTCCTTGGTCTGTACGCTTAGTCCTGTGTTTCAGGTGAGGAGAGGGGGCTCAGGGAGTGGAAGTGGCCTGCTCATTATCACACGGCGAACGGATGGCAGGCCTAGGCCTAGAGGTGTCTGACTGAGGCCACTGTTGCCCCTGTCAGTCCACAGCAACTTCTGAAACTGCCCCAAGAGCTGGCCAGCAAGTGTTTCCCTCCCTGGGCTGGGAGAAATATTGCTCTGTCCTCTTCTCTCAGACCTGCTCCCCACTTCCAGCCTCACCGAAAGGTTTCCAGAGGCCAGGCGATGCTGCAGCCTGGCACTCTGGGAGCCCTCATCAGAGCAGACCTTCCCAATGGGTCCCCTCTCCCTCCCCCCAGGGAGTCTTGAGCTGAGGGGAGGAGCAGGGAGGGTTTGCAGGTACAATCACACCTCTTGGAGGCGGGTGTGGATAAAATTGCAGTGCATGTTGGATTTCACCAAATCCAGATTAAAGTTGAGAAGATCAGTCTGAAGCTGAATAACAAAACCAGCCCTAATTAGGAGGCTAAACCCTGGCTAAAGCTCCCCTGCCTTGCATCATCATAGGCAAAGCCCCACCTTGTTTGTTTATACAGAACAAAGCCTGCATCCCTGGAGTTTGGCCTGAGGCCCTGTCAGGGAGCCCCGGGACGTGGGCACCTTCCCAGCCAGCCACAGGTGCCCACTCTTTCCCAGAGGCTCCTCAGGAGCCCCTAGTCCCTTGTAACAGAGCAGGAGGGGAGAGGTGGCTGGTACCCAATTCAGTTAAACTCCTACTGTGTGCCAGGGGCTTTACAGTTCTCATCAAATGATTTCCAAACCCTGTGGAGTGATTGGCCAGCCCGCCATTATGTGCTCAGGGTGAGCTACTACTATTATTGGTCCCCATTTTACAGGCTAAAGTGACACTTACGATGCAGGTAACTGGCCCAGGGTCCCATGGGTGGATTTGCATTCAGGACCCTCCCAAACGCCCACCCAAAACTTGCCTGGGGAACCTGCCTCTCTGCGATAAACAATCAGCTTTGACCTCTCTGAAGTAACTCTGGTTGTTTCTTCTCCCGCTGATGGAAAACAGATGTGGAACTGTGATGGGCATCCCTGCTGGGTCCCTGTCCCAGCTGCTCTGAGGGCCCCTGCCTCAGGGGCTGAGGGCCAAGACTGGCCTATGTTCAACTCTGAGCACAAGGCTCAGCTTCACACATTTGCTGGTGGGATTTTCTAAAGTTTACATTTGCCAAGCACATCACAAATGTCCTCCTCTCTATTTTTCCTTAAAATAATAAAAAAAAAAGGCTATTAGAATAAGGGGAAGAGCCTCTGTTAAATATGGGTTATAGAAGGGGAATTGCAGTATGAGCTCAACAGCATGTGGTCTTCCAGCCACACTCAGGAAAAGACGAGAAGGAAATATACCAGAGCTTACCTTTGGTTCTTGGGCCGTAGGAGCATGAGTGCCTTTTTTTTTTTTTTTTTACCTTGCTTCTGCTTTTCAGCATTTGATAATCAAGCATTGCTTTAACCTTCCTGTGGAAGGTTTCTCTCATGAATGAATGTGTGTGTATATATATATACATATATATACACACACACGCACATTGTGAATGAGATATATATGTGTATATATATGTGTGTGTATATATGTGTGTATATATATGTACACACACATTCATTCATGAGAGAAAAAGAAACATAATAAAAGAGATGTATACCAATATTACAAAAGCTGCTAACTGGACATTACCTTTTTTTAAACTTAAGCATACATTGGGAACCTCTTTTCATGTTATTAAAAACTTCCTAAGAATATAATTTTTGAAACAGATGTATGGTATTCCATTGCATGATGGTACCAGAAGTTAAGGAACAGATGGCTTCTTTTTTTTTTTTAAGTTTTTATTTTTTTATTCATGAGACACACAGAAAGAGAGAGAGAGAGAGAGAGAGAGGCAGAGACACAGGCAGAAGGAGAAGCAGGGTTCCTGTAGGAAGCCTGATGTGGGACTTGATTCCGGGACTCCAGGATCACGCCCTGAGCCAAAGGCAGGCGTTCAACCCCTGAGCCACCCAGGCGTCCCAACAAATGGCCTCTTATTGGGAATGCAAGTTGTTTTAAACTGGTCTCTAATATAGATAGAGAGGCAGCAAACATCCTTGTAGCTCACAGCTTGTGTACAATCAAGATTATGTCCTTATATTAATTGCTTAAAGTGAAATTGGTAAGTCAAAAGTATGTAAAATATTAAAAAAAATTTTTTTTCCATATTGGTGACCAAATTGCTCTTCAGCAGAGAGGTAATTTATCCTCCTGCTTCTATGAGGCACCTGTTTCTCTTCACCTTTGCCACCACTGGGTGTAACATTTAAATAGAATCTTGCAAATATGTTTCTTGCTAACACCCCGTATTGTTGTTTTCAGTGCTTTTGCAATGGAAAAATAAGTTTTATTTAGAACAAAACCAATCTTACAATGTTTAGAAAACTTGAAAGATTTTCCTCATGCATAATGCTACCAGTTTTCTGGGTTCCCACCCATTTTTATTTAGAAGTACCCGTTTGTATGTAGAGGTCATCATAGTAGATAGGAACTTTTAGGCATTATTTTCACTCACCTTTATTTTCAAAAACATTGCCATGAGGGATCCCTGGGTGGCGCAGAGGTTTGGCGCCTGCCTTTGGCCCAGGGCGCGATTCTGGAGACCCAAGATCGAATCCCACGTCAGGCTCCCGGTGCATGGAGCCTGCTTCTCCCTCTGCCTGTGTCTCTGCCTCTCTCTTTCTCTCTCTCTCTCTCTCTATGACTATCGTAAATAAATTTAAAAAAATTTAAAAAAAAGAGAGAGTTTAAAAAAAAAACCAAAAAAAAAACCCAAAAAAAAACATTGCCATGTGGCTTTATGATCTTCATATTTATCATGGCCAGGGCTCATGTTCCCCTAGACTGGGCTACTGTTCCCATTGCAGTGCCCCTGGTCTTGGACCTTCAGGCCACTTACCCCTTCTCACACTGCAGCTGCTGCTGTTGTGTGCATCTCTATGCTTAGAGCTTTTCCTGAATGTTGAATAATTTCCTTAATTTCTGAGTAATGGGAAAGCTGGCTGGGTCAAAGGGTCTAGACATCCTCAAGGCTTTTGCTCAGTACTGTTCTTTGCGCTCCAAAACGCCTACACCCACTGACAGGGCTCCCGGCAATTTAGAGGTGAGACCACCTCCTCTTCCCCCAGCCAGGGCCATTCTCTTCCTCCTTGAAGCTTTATGCACAGCTAAATTAATGATATTCTCTCACAGTTTCATGAAACAGGGCATGGTGGGAAAGCATGGGCTTTGAAGACGGGAAGCCCTGGGTCCACATAGTAGGTGCTCCACAAATATTCGTTGATTGCAGAGTAGTTACTAAATAACTACTACGTGCCAGGAACTTAAATATTAGTCAACTATCCTAACCACCCTGTTGTTGGTAAAATTATTCTTACCTTATAGAGGAGGAAGCTGAATTTAGTTCCTAGTTAGATGAAATCTTCTTGGCAAATCATCCAGTATCTCCGAGTCTCCATTCCCTCCTCTTTTTTTTTTTAAAGATTTTATTTATTTATTCATGAGAAACACCGAGAGAGAGAGAGAGAGAGAGAGAGAGAGAGAGAGAGAGGCAGAGACACAGGCAGAGGGAAAAGCAGGCTCCATGCCGGGAGCCTGACGTGGGGCTCGATCCCAGGTCTCCAGGATCACGCTCTGGGCTAAAGGCAGCGCTAAACTGCTGAGCCACCCAGGCTGCCCCATTTCCTCCCCTTTAGAATGGAGGTGCCAAATACCCATCTAGCTGGGCTGCTGTGAGCATTACGTGAGCTAAGTATATGATGCACATGGCTTATGTTCCCTAAAGGGAGAATGTGGTTTTTAGCCCTTTCTATCAGACTGTTGTGGAGTGATATCACTTTGTAGATGCTAAATGTATTCTTAGGCATGAGATACTGCTTTTCATTTACTTGAGAAGAGTTCCTTATTCTGTTTTAAAATGTCTTTCTTCTTAGGGCATTACAATATCAGTGAATCCCTTGTGAAGCAGTCGCCAAAGGTATTAATGTCTTGTTTTAAATCAAAAACTGAACGTGGATCACAACTGACATCAACAGGCCCAGGACCTGGTTATTACAACCCCAATGATCACACCAAAATTCTGAAAAAGACTCTTATCCTGTGAGTCCTGATTATTCTGACCATTCTTTTGAAAGGTGGCTCTGGGGAAGGACCCAACATAAGCAGAAGAGGAAGGGGTGTCACTGGTTGGCAGGACAGAGTTCCAGTTTACTCTCCACCCTCATCGACATAGTAGGTGCTCAATAAATACTTAATGCATAATGTTCATTGAGCAACTACTATGTGCCAGGAACTTAAGATCTTACTCAACCATCATAATGACTCTATTGTAAGTATTATTATTCTTACTTCATAGACTAGAAGTGAGGCTGAAGATTTGCCTGTGTGCACACAGCTAACTTGAAATGCCACTGGGAATCAGGCTCAGGACTGTCTGGATCTTTCCACATCCCCCATGATGTTGTGCTATCCTGGCACTGATATTATTCTATTTTTATAACATAAAATCTTTACTGGGGTGGTAGGGTATACAGCAGCATGGGGGTGTCAAAGTTTTGTACTGATAGGTTGAAAGTCTAGACACTGGAGTTGGTTGGACCCACTGGATGTGAATTTGAGCTATGCTGTTTTCATGCTGTGTGACCTTGGGCACTGTTTTAAGTCTCTGAGTCTCCATGCTCTCCTCTGTGAAGTAAAGTGGGGATAATTCATGCCTCATAGTGCTGCTTTCAGATTTTATTATATATGTTTGGCATGTAGTAGGTACAAATGGTAACAATATTAACACAAATTTAAAAAGTGAAGATGGGGATTTGTGTTAACATGTTTAATATCCTATGCATTGAATATTACTTTCACCAAACAGGTTCAAGAACTTGCAGGTCTTATGTATTCCTCAGATGGATCTAGAACTTCTAGAACTAACTGTAAGATCAGTCCATCTGTTGCCATCCAAGACCTCACCCTGTTATAGTCCTCTCCAGGCACAATTGGCCACTGTGGGGGGCTGACTAGCAGGGCAGCCCCTCCAGAGAGGTCAGGCAGGTGGCCAGGCTCATACCTACAGCAAATCAGAAGTCCAGGCATCCAGGAGAGGCTGGCAACATTGGGCATGCTCTGACCATCAGCACAGGACAAAGAGAGGGGTGGGGGAGAGGAGCGAGACATGAACCTGCCGAGTTCATGCTGGACCAAGGACTCGGACCTCAGATGGAATCCACTGGGTAAGTCCCTTCTGCCCTTCGGTTCTTGGGGTCTTCAGGTTGACCCCTCACAGGCTCCAGGGCTCAAAACGGGGCAGGATGGTCTCCAGGAATAGGGTCTCTCTGAACGGCAGGGACTTCCCACCTCTGGGCTGGCTTAGGGCACACGCACACCACCTTTCCCCTGCTGTGCCAGTGACCAGAGTGGGTAATAGGACAGGCTTTGGAGCTAGCAGAACTGGGTATGAGTCACAGCTCTGTTCCCTGCAGAGGTTTCTCCTCTCTGAGCCTCAGTTTCCATGTTATTAAGTGGAGATAAGAGTCTTATCTCCTATGGGTTCTGTGAGGGTTGGATGAGAATTTAGTCATGGTAGCTGCTGCTATTCTATATCCAATAGGCATGTGAGCATACAGGGTACAACTGCTCTTTGGCATAGCCACTCAGGCCCCTCACTTAAATCTGGAAGCTTCTTCGAGCAAGCAGTGAAAAGGAGAGTGGAGAACACTCAGTGTTGAGCTGCTTTCCCCAGAGAAGTGGAGAATTTGAATTCATTCAGAATTTTCAGCATTTGGCCTTTGCTGAAGTTTGAAGAACAGTTTGAAATAATTCCCATTTTATGGCATTTGCATCTGTCAAGTCAATAGGCTCTGTAGGTTTCTGGGTCTGTGTTGGAGGCTGTGGGGGTACTCAGGTGTACAGGGCACCATACATACCTTCAGCTGGGCTCACCTGGGAACAACTCCAGAGCAGAGCAGAGGCACATGCAACAAAATGCTGAATCATGTGGCCCCAAGGCTGTGTGGCCACATACATCCCTGAGGGCAGTATTTCCAGCTGGGTGCAGGGCAGTGGTGCTGGTGTGTCTGGGGGTGTCTGGGGATCACTGGCTCTCTGTGAAGCTTTGTGAATGACAGATCTTTGGTTAATAAGTCTAGGAAGCACTGTATATGAACCCTCTGTCCCTGGGAATATCACAGTGTACATGGCTCTGAAATGTCCCAAAGTACAGAAACCTATTAAACCCAGTGTCTCTTAAACTTGAGTTCATGCTGGTGAGTAGATAGGCCTCCACTTGGGTTCCCCTGGTAAGTACATAGACCCCCACTTGGGTTCTCCCCGGTAAGTGCATGGTGCCCTGGTAGGACATTTGTGTTAACTTCCCCCACAATCTGGGCCTGCTCTCAGCACCTGCATGGACCTTATTTCTTTATGTGTGAAAGGAGGGGGAGGTCTTTCCATTTCTGACACTCCATCACCCCCAGGATTGCTCACCATGTCATTTAGGAATACTTACTGAGGGCAGTGAACATGGAGCCAGCCTGGACTCACAAAGGAGGCCCAAATACCTATATTTTTAATTGACATGGAAAGGCTACAGCTAAGAAATCTGTAACTGTACTTAAAAAGCAAAAAGATAAAACTCCAGTGTGTCTGAGTTAGTCTAAACAAGCATCCAAAAAAATAAATAAATAAACAAGCATCCATCTGTTTATGTGCAATGATGAAGAAATGAGTTAATATAAAGATACAGCTGAATATTGTAGTATTGAGGGCATGTCCAGACTCCAGTCTCTCAAATTGGAGTTCTGTGTCCTCTCCTATGGCCCTGAAGGAAGAGAGGAGAGTTGCAGCTGGGGGCCCACCTGCTGGGATCGTCAGCCCCCCCCCAGAAGGTCCACATTGTTTACCCCCTATCTCCATGTAACTTGTCGAGACTCTATCCTTACCAAACCTGAGCACATTTAACTCTCCAGGGCTGCACAGGGCAGTGGTGGAGAATCTGAGAGTCCTCACGGGGTTTCCTTTTGGCAAGCGCAAGCAACCGAGGTGTCGTGCCCATGTGACATGATGTGAAGCCTGTCCTTATTTGTCTTGAATGGCAAATGCTTGGCTCCTTACTTTTGGGGAGGGTCCCAGCTTGCAAAGGTAATCTTTCAGCTCTGCTTTCTTAAGGATGCAGGAAGAATCAGGAGATATGAATTGTCCCCTAGAATTGTTAGTCTCATGTTACCCACCAACAAAAGTGAAGCCCAGGGAGTTGAGGGTTGGGTGATGTCTGGGAGTGCTCAGGAGGCTAGCAGGGGGCCAGGCATGGGCTTGTCTTGTCTCTACTATTGTCGCTGGCCCCAGAGCTGAGAAGAGGCTGTGGAGGCCATGGGGCCTAGTGGATGTGTATAAGCACAGATTCCAAGTTGGGCCAGGGTTAAACCTCCCACCTTCCTCACTCACCAGCTCTGGGAGCCTGGGAACCCAGGAATTCAAATTCAACCCTGTAAATTGTGAAATGAAGGCTTGGTAATGTGCTTGCAAGGATAAAATAAGAAAACCCACAAAACTCACCAGGTCTGGTACCCGGTAAGCTTTCGATACATGTAACTTGTCTTTTTTATTGAGGTATGTGATTGGGTCCTCTGTACTCACCTGCTGCTTCTTGAGTGGCCTCCGGAGGGCAGATGCTGTGCTAAGGGCTGGCAGGGTGTTGGGATGACCACTTCTGGGCTCCCTATCCTAAGAACAGGGCACAGGTGTCCCTTGGCTGTGACCAGCTTGCCTACTCAAAGCTAAGAGCATTTATCAGGGGGGCTTTAGGAGAGAAGTGAAGTGTCAGCTTCATACTGTCACAGTGATGACTCAGTGAATCAGGGTGAGTCAGGATAAGGACTTTTGGAGATCAAACTGGTCCCTCCCGGGTGCTGCCTTCCACGCACACTCAACAGCAGTGAGGGGAACCGCCCACTGACATCTTTCTAACCCTTGATCTACTTCCTGGAGTTTCTAAGCCACTGGTTTTGCACAGACACGCTGTCCTGCCACAGCCAGAGCTGAAGAATCAAACCTTGTTGGCCCCGCTCCAATTTGGGTAATTATCATGACCCACCTAAAGTTCCCCTGGGATTTTCAATTAGATATGGGATGCTTCTTCCCAAGCGGCTGTAATCTGTCACCCTCTACTCTGTTAAACAGATGCTGCATTCCACCCCAGAGGCAACTGGCTGCCCTTTAATGATGAGAAAAAATTGCCCCTTTATCCCTCCTGACCCTGGGAATCCCTGAGGCAGAGTGAATCGGTGCCTGGGAGTGTCCCGAGGGTCTCGGATGCCTTCCCCGGGTGACCTGCTGAGTCCTCTGAGACATTCATTATTCTTGGGCGATTTGCAAACAGCTCACATTGGGAGCTGCAAACATACTTAATCCAGTTGTGGCCAACTCAGAGCCTTTGATAGATGTTTTCTTTCTATGGGGCAGGACCAGGTTGGCTTTTATAACTGAGCAATGAGGCTCATAAAAGCCCCGGTCACAATGCACTGAGGGCTGCCCCGGTTTTGATCCAGCCAGACCTTTGTGATCTGCCCAGCCCCACCTCGCCATGGAGGGAGCAGCCCTGGACGGTGATAAAACTATCAGGTGGGGTTCAGAGGTCTGGGCTCCCCTACTTGCCGTAACCCCTCTGTTTTTCTCTGCAGTTCAGCAAATGTCCTGGGGAATGGGGATGGGACCTCAAAAATGAATCAGATGCAGTCCCTTGGTTTAAAGAACTAGGCACATATAGAGTGTTTGAAAACCTAGCATGTTCTATGCAGAGAAAAGAAGAATGGCTTGAAGTTCCGAGGGCCCAGCCACACTGAGCTGAGAACTTTCATGGATGTCACCTGGCGTCCTGCTCCCAGCGGCCCTGCAGGGCGGCACTGTTACATGGAGCACAGATGAAGGTGTAGAACAAGGAGTGGCATGCAGGTCCAGCTGACTCTGGAACCCATGCTGCTCTGTGGAAGCCACAGGAAGGGCAGGGGGTGGTGGTGGTGGTGGTGGCGGAGGCCAAAGAAGTTGCCCTGAAGGATGTGAGAAGTGAAGAATGACCAGAGTTTGCAGGAAATGTAGGTGATCCTGGCGAAGGAACAGAGCAGGCAAAGGCATGGAGTGGTGGAACAGTGTTGTGCTGGGGGCTTCTGGAAGGTCACATGGGAGCAAGGGGTGTAGGGGGTTAGGTTGGATTGAGAGGCCATAAATACGAGCTACTCATTTAGCTTCTCATTGGGGTCTGCGAGGGCCGATGGTCAGAAACAGGTGAACCACCTAGAAGTCATGGGCACACTGAAGGGCTGAAGGCGGTCTAGGAAGCTCGGCCGCTGCCTCCTTGTCCCCATTCCTGCCACACGCAGCTATAGCTCATGCCTCAGCTGTGCTTTGGCACCTGCTGATTCCTCTGCGAGAAATGCCCCCTTATCCACCTGAAGAATTCCTGCTTACTTTTCAGGGCAAATGTTATCTCTTCTAGGGTAGATTTCTGGATTCACTTAATTTGGAATTCCCCGCCCTACTCCCACCCCCACCTCTCAGAGCAGTGTTTTTGCCTCTATTCTAATATTTCATGCTTAAAAAAAATAATACAAGCACCAGTTAACCTTCATAGCAATCCTGGGTGGAAGGTACTATACCCCCATTTCACAGATGAAGGATCTGAGCCGTAGGGAGGCTGAGACTTCGCTGAGGTCACACAGCGAGGGGGGCTGTGCTGAGTCCAACCTGAGTTTGTCCAGGTACAAAACCTGTACTTCTTTAAGCTGTCACCAGCCATCGCTGTCACTAGCAGGAGATTGTCATGCCCTTGGGAGCATTCAGGGTCTGTGTCTTATCACAGAACAGTGTGAACCCCCCAGGGTGCCTGGCACATGGTTGTTCTGTAAAGATCCAGAGGGCTGAGCTGCCGGTGCTGAGGCTCTCCTGAGCAAGGGATCTCTCTAGGCCCTCTCGCCGAGGATCCTGATGAGACAGTGACCCGGCCTCCTGCAGGCTGTCCCTGGTGAGGAACAGGGACATGTCATGGCTGCCTCAGAGAACGGAGCTAGGGGGTGACCCAGACTGATGGGGTGAGGTCATGCGGTGGTTGGCTCATTCCAGCTCCAGCTTCAAGGACTCAAGCCTCTCTCTCAGTGATGCCAGTTCCACACTCATCAAATTTCTGGGGGTGCTTTGAAGGGGTGACACAAGCCAGAACAAGGAGAAGCCAGCTTTTATTTCTAAGGGGAGAGGTGGTTGGTCACACACTCTAACCAGTTCTTCCATGTCAGCTGGAGGGGAGGAAAGAGGTAAGGTTGGTTCTCTGTCTCCTGTGGGCACCTTTGTTCTAAATATAAGCTATAAGCAACCAGGCCAGCTGTTCCTCCCATCAGATGTGAGGCTCAAGCAGATTTACGAGGACTTTCAACGGCCTCCTCTGGCAGTGGGAGTGGCCAGCCAGCCTCGGGGTGACTGTGTGAGGGGGCCCCCTAGCCTCTGGGGCCACGCAGCAGGCAGTGCCTGGCACAACCATCATGTTAACAACAGCTACTTTTATTGAGCATTTACTGTGGGCTGGCACCGCACTAGGTGCCTTCTTTGCTCCATTCAGTGACTCCCTTACAAAGAGGGGGACCTGCCTGAGGTCTCGCAGCTGGTAAGTGGGATGACTGGAATTCAGATGTAGGTCTGTATGACTCGAAATCTCAAAAACTCCCCTCTGCCATGGTCCTTCCCCAAATTGCCAAGCCCTTGAGACTCGAGTTCTGGTGCTGGCATTACCACTCCTTTGCTCGGTGACGTTGGGTGACTGGCTTTTTCTCTCTGGGCACTAAGTGCTTTAGCACAATAAGGAGGTTGGATAAGACATCTCTAGGTCCCCTTTAGCTCTCTGAGTTTAAAAATGCCTTTGCTTCCGAAGGTATCGGCCAAAGGCCTGCAGAGTACCAGCAGCCAGGAATCCCAGTCCCCTCCTCTGTGTTGGCTTCAAACTGGGGTGAGCCATTTGTGGCCATTCAGTGCTCCGAGAACTTTCCCTTTCCTTTGGTGAAAGACCAAGGAGCTTCAGGTGTGAGGTGGGAGTGAGCAGCCCTTTTACTGCACGGCTGGAGAGGAGTGTGATTCCCATAACAATCCCAGAATTCCCTGGGCAACCAGGGGACCTCTTATTTTTTTTGTTTTCATGATTTTCTTTATTTATTTGAGAAAGAGAGAAAGGGAGAGAGAGTGGCAGAGGGAGAAGCAGACTCCCCACTGAGCAGGGAGCCTGATGTGGGACTTGATCCCAGGACCCCAGGATCATGACCTGAGCCAAAGGCAGATGCTTAAGTGACTGAGCCACCCAGGAGCCCCCACCAGTGGACCTCTTTATCCATGGCCTGGTGGATGGTCACAGCTGGAAGGGACCCTAGACAATATCGTGTCCAATCTCCTCATTTTGCAGATGGGGAGACTGAGGCCCAGAGTGAATTAGCAATGGAGCTATAGCTCCACTACGGGTTCCATTTATCTTTCATTTATCCTCTCAATCCGGGATGTAAAAGACTCCCTTTCCTGATGGGCAGAGATAAGCCTAAAAAGGAACAATTGCAACAGAAGTGATAGGGGAGAGGGCTCTTGATTTCCAACCAAAATCTTTCCCCTCCCACATCCTGCCTTGCCAGGAAGATATGTAGTGGGATTCTGAAATGTCAATGCTGGCATGGTCTTTGGAGATCTTTGGAGATCCATTGGTCTTGGGATGACAAATCTCTGGAATTTGGGGTGCCTCGTCCCATTTCCTGGCTATGGCAGACGTCACAAGCGGATCACCCATATGGCTCTTCCCATAGAGCCCACGTGAGGCCGGAGTCCTTTACATGGAGCTCCAGCCAGGCCCTACCCCGTGATCAGAGCTGGCACACGTCTGCCGTTTCTGATCAGCTCAGCACCATCCTCCACAGCAGCGCGTACCGTGCCCTCACTGTGCAGGGCCCTGCCCTGACCACTGCTTTAGGGGCATCGTCTCACTGAACCCTGACAGCGAGCCTGTGAGGTAAGTACTTTTAAAAGCAACTTTGTGCAGAAGAGAAAAGTGAGGTCCAGGGCCCCCCGGCTCACTAGCAGTGAAGCCAGGGCTCTGCCCACGTCTCCTGGTGCCCTGTCCCATCCTTGGGCAGACAGCTCGGGGCAGGGCAGGTCTTGGCTTGGTCTAAAAACAACCATCTCCCCCATGGACTGCTGTAGTGCTAACTTCACATTTTGTCTTTCTCTGAAGGAAAAACCCCATCCTGACCTTCTCTGCGCAGCCTCTGCCCCTGCCCCCGAAGCCGCCGCTCCCAGGCCCTGGTCAGTACGAGATCGTGGACTACGAGGGGCCGCCCAGGCACTTCATCTCCAGTGCGTCCTTCGTGTCCAACACCGGCCGGTGGACAGCAGCCCCGTCCCAGGCAGGCCTGCCGGGCCCAGGTCAGAGGATTGTTTTTAAATGATCGTAAAAACCAAATTTGGAATTGTTTGTCATTCCTGGGCCATCAAATGTCACTGATTTATGGGCTGTTTGCCAAACAGGGTACAGAGGTTAGAGTCCATCTGGAAGACATTTAAGCTTGCACTTTCAGGGTATGAAAGGGTTTTTTTTGTTTTTTTGTTTTTTGGGTTTTTTTTAAGGTGGGAGGGCCCTTAGAGTTAATCCAGGCCAGGGATTCGTGGCTAATAATCGTGGCTGTCCAAGCTCCAGAGGGAGGCTGTGGCCCTGAAATTGCCTGCAGACTTGGAGCACGAAGATACTAATTTTGGGAGAAATAGGCCATAGCTTTTGTCAGATTGTCCAACAATTCCACATTCTTAGAAATGTTTAAATCACTGGCCTGATCTGGCCAAATCACTTCACAGCTGGGGAGGGCCTGGAGAACAAGATGTGCACTGAGTGGCAGTGGGAGCAGCAGAGCAAAGCACCAGGCCGTTTCCCTTCCGTGCCCTGTTGTCATGAAACACGCCAGGGCCGGTTCACTAGAGCAGCCCCTGTGAGCCTTCTAGTTCCACAGCCTTTTTTTTTGAAAATTTATTTATTATTTATGATAGTCACACACAGAGAGAGAGAGAGAGACAGAGAGAGAGAGAGAGAGAGAGAGAGAGAGGCAGAGACACAGGCAGAGGGAGAAGCAGGCTCCATGCGCCGGGAGCCCGACGTGGGATTTGATCCCGGGTCTCCAGGATCGCGCCCTGGGCCAAAGGCAGGTGCCAAACCACTGTGCCACCCAGGGATCCCTTCCACAGCCTTTTTACAGATGGCTAAGGCCATCTGTAAAGGCCATCCCCCAAGGTGGGACCCTGTCACCTTTAGGACCTCCCCGAAAGCTGATAGCACGAGGACCTACTGCAGTGGGTCCTCTCTGTGTTCCCCAACCTCTCTGTAGGTCTCTCAGAGCCCCTTAGCTATTTGCCACCCCCTGTGACATTGGCCCGAGCTGGTGGCACTGGGGACTGACAGGTGTGCTTGCGGGCAGGCCGTGGAGGAGGAGGAGGAAGGCTGAGCCGAGCTGGCTGCCCGGTCTGTTTAATTCCATCTTTCAGGGAGCACTATGATGCTCCCACCGTGGAAAGACAAAGGTGACTTAGCTTGGTGCCTACCCCCCGAGGTGTCCGTCTGGCAGGAGATACCTTCCACTCCAAACATACAGGTGAATAAAATGTAAGGTGGACAGGCCAGAGAAAGTCATTGTGACAGCTTCGGCCTTGGAAATGTATAAATGGTCATTAGGTCAAGAGGGCTGCAGAGGCCTGGGGTCGCCTGGTCAGGCTTGGTTGGGCAAATGTGCTAAGGTTCCATTTAAGTGGTGGGCTCCAGGAGGCCGGGCGACCAGTGAGCATCCTTGCCTGACCCTGTTGGGCCCAGGCCCCAAGGAGCTTTTCCTGAGTGTCCTCTCCATGCTGCACACAGGGGCAGGCCACTTCTTGCTGCCGTGCTCACCTGCACCAAGGTGGGCTTCCCTAAGGGGTGGCCTGAGGGTAAGCCACATGCAAACATCTGCCTTCTTGGCTTCCAGTGAGTACACATCCGCCTGGACTGCCAAGAGCTCCCATCAGCCTGGACCTTCATTAACCAAGTCAGTATCAGCCTGAGTGTTTCCACTCACCCCTATATGGTCCTGGCAGCTGGTGTCCTAGAGAATGTGCCTGCAGTCATCATGGCTTTCACTTTTCTGGAAATTTGCCACCACCACCACCCTCTGGCTTTTTTTAAGTAGGCTCCATGCCCAATGTGGGGCTTGAACTCATCACCCGGAGATCAAGAGCTCAAGGCTCTATCAACTGAGCCAACCAGGCACCCCTTCTGGAAATTTCTGAACTCAATGAAAACACAACCCACCAAACTGACACCTTGCTTCATTAAAAGTATTGCTTTACTCAGTATTTTTTTCAAATCTGATAGGAAGCTCTTTTGTAAATTTTCTTCTGTTAAAGAAGTTACAGGGAGTTAAGGAAGGTTGGAAACCAGAGACCTGCCTTGGCCAGGCCAGTCCCTCTCTGCCTCCCTACTTGTAAGATATAGGGGCTGGGACAGGGGTGCCCCTGGCATTCCCAGCTCTGATCTAGAATGCCAGGGGCTTGAGCAACTGACCTTTTCACTCTTAATACTGTCTCTGTCTCTGTCTCCACAGCCACCTACAGGCCAGAATTCCCCGGAAAGCAGTCCTTTCTCTACAATGAGGACAAAAAATGGATCCCAGTGTTGTAGGGACCTCACACAAGCTCAAGGAGAGCCCTGGCCACCATCCGCCCTACCCAGGCTTCCCAGGACGTTCATTCAGAGATGCCCATTTCGTACGTGACAGATGGCTCCCCCGGGCTGCTCTGCCCCCTGCCCCTGCCCCCAGCTGGTGTAGAGCTGGGCTCCTGCATTTGTCCTTGTCTTGAGCTGCCTCCTAGAGACTGGATCTCCATTTCTACTGCTTCCAGCAGTTTCCTGAGCAGAACTGAGAAGCCAACAGAGCCTCCCTTGGTTACCTCACCACGCACCTGTCCCTGCTGGCTTCCACAGGCCTCCCCACAGATGTGAGGAGCTTCTGAAGCTCAGACTCCACGGAGAAGTTGGCCAATGGCAGATCCCCCATCTAGAAGCCTGATACTGAGCCATGGGGTCCAGAAAGCACCTGCAGGATGGACCACATGGGCCTGCAGCCCAAGCATGTTCTGGTCCTTCGGCCTTGACTTCCAGACTTCCCCTGGAGTTCAGGAGCTGGGAAGGCCCAGAAGTGCCTGTGACAGACACGAAGGGGCCGCCTGGGCCCTGGCTCCCAGCTAAGCCTTCATATCTCACATTCGGGAAGAGCATGGCAGGCAGTTACCGTGGTCACGTGTGTTCATTTCCCACCTTCGAGAGAGGCCACCACGTCCGTTCTGTGGCTCGGTATTCCACAGCACAGGTGGGCAGGAGCCTGCTGGAGCCCGGGCCCTGGATCAGTGATTCTGAGGGGCAGGGAGGCCACGCACTGCTTGGCACTTGCAGGTTCTTTCTTTCACGGGGACGCCCCTGTCCCCAGGCCTGGCCTCTGTCTCCTCCCAGACCTCCTGCTCCGGTGTGACACAGTCTTTAGTGGATCTTTTCTGGCCTGCCAAATCAGTTTCCTCCTGGCAAGAGGAAGAGATTCACAAAGAACCAGGGGGGAGAAGGGCCTTCCCATCAGAAGGGCCGCTGGCTGGCCTTCCCTTTGGGGACGGGTGGGTGAGGAAGAGGGAGAGAGAAGAATAGAATATCATATCCAATTAAACAATTCTTGCAAAAAAAAAAAACAAAAACAAAAACAATTCTTGCATTGTGAAAAAGCTGGCCTTTTAGTGACCCTCAGATCCCTGGGAGTACCTGCTGCTGGGGGTGAGTGGGAGGCAGCCCAGAGCACCTGGTGAGAGCGATGCAAGGCTGAACCTTGAGGCAGGACACTGTGTGCTCCCATCCTGTTAGGTCAGCAGCTTCTCTTCGAAGGAAAAGAGTCAGATTCAAATTCCAGGCCCCAAGGGCAACTCTTCCAGGAGCTGGGTAGGGAGGTCAGGCAGGGGTGGGGTGTGGGAGCTGCAGCTGCTCGGCTAACGGGCATCCAACAAGCTGCAGCCAGCTGTCGCCAGATCTGCAGAGTTTGAGCAGAATCCTGGAAGTCCTTAAAATGTGCAATCTATTGGTTTGAGATGTTGACAACCATCTTGCAACTTGAAATCTTTCATTGGGGCTAATGGAAACTTGTGCAGGCCATCCATTGTCCAGTTGGGTACATTCTGGAAGACCCTTTCTAGGTTGGCACTTGAAGCTGTACCTTTCTTTGACCCCAGACTCTTGACAATGGGGCCAGACCCCAACGCCTTGGTTTCTCTGTCCCTCTGGCCCTGGGGGACCTTTAGGGGACCATTGGGCTAGAAGCTGCCATCCCTGGAGTGTCTGTGGGCAGAGGCTGAGAAATGTATCGGAAAACAAGACAGGCCTCTCCTCCCCTCGGGTAGCTGGGCTGAGCACCAGCAGGTAAAGATCATCTCTCTCTAGAGGAGCCCCCCCTCAGCTGCAGTCAAGAAAGAGGGGGGGCTCTGGGACAAGAATGGCAGGGTTGCCCGTGGCCAGTCTGAATCCACGTTCTGTCAAAGACATGACTAGAGCTGAGGCCCTGAGCTCAGAGGGTCTATCTTGACCACGTCTAGCCTCTCTTGAGGTGTCATGAGCTGCTTACAGCTCTGTCTAACCCCAGCCGTATATAGGGATCACCTTGGGGGCTGTTATAGAGATAGCCTGCCCAGGCCCCAAACCTCAGAGTCCTGATTTAATTGACGTGAGGTAGGGTCTGGGCATTAGTTCTCAGCTATAAGGTGTCTAGTTAGGGTTAGGGCACCCTGATAGTTTAATAAAGTATTTGTCAAATTCTAATGTGCATGCAAATCACTTAGATTTCTGGTTATAGAAGGTAGATCCTATAGGTCTGGGGTGAGGCCTGAGGATCTGCATTTAATTTTCTTTTCTTAAAAAATTGAGATATAATTGACATATAACAGTGTATTAGTTTTAGGTGTAAGCATTTCTAACAAGCTCCCAGGCGATCCCGATGCTGCTGGTCCACGGACCACACTTAGGGTAGCGAGGGTCTATTAAATACAGTTAACTGCTCAACTCTGGCCTTCCGTTTGTTCGCTCATCTGCTGTTTGCCTATATGCCCTCCTCCCTCACCTCTCCCTCCATCTTTCCCTCCCGTCCTCCCTCCTCCTGATTCCCTCACTCATCCCTCACACCTGCTTTCCTCCTTCATCCCTCCCTCCCCCACTGGCTATTTGTCTTCTAGGGGAGAGCCACCAGGCAGGGGATGCCCTTGCCACCCGCTGACAGCCACCTTTCCAAAGTGATTCCTATTTGGAAAGGACTTACCTTCACTCCTCTCCCCTTTGACTCTTGGGAGCAAAAGATGGTCCTAGCATGGCAGCTGTCAGGCTGAGGGGGTACCCTTGCCCCTTGACTTCCCTGAGGGCAGAGCTCTCCTTGAGGCCCAGATGGCCTTTGTAGGCATTGACAGCCCTGGTCCCCTCACATGGTGCTTTGCTGAGCAGAGCTGAGCCCTGGTGCCCTTACTGCAGCTGCTGAATGTGCGGCGGGTGTGGAGCTGCCCGGCTCCCTTCCCGAACTCCGCAGCAGGATTTGCGTGGATACCGATTCCTTGTGTGCAGCAACCCAGCCAGACACAAAGAGGTGACACAGGCTTCAAGGCCTGTGTAATTATGGCCTCTCTAGAGCAGTGGTTCTCGACCTTGACCGCACACTGTAATCACGGGAGGTGGGGGTGGTGCTTTAAAAAGTTCTGAGGTCTGTCTGGGTCCACCTCCAGAAATTCTGACTTAAATGCTCTAGGGTGGGGGCGCCTGGCTGGCTCAGGGGGCAGAGCATGTGATGCTTGGTCTCAGGGTCATGAGTTCGAGCCCCACATCGGGTGTAGAGCTTAAAAATAAATAAAAATTTAAAAAATAAATAAATGCTCCAGGGGTGGGGTCTGGGCAGTAGGGAAAGGGGTAAAAGCTGCTCAGGTGATTCCAAGGTGCAAACCAGGGTGGAGAAGCACCACCTGCCTGCTTCCCAGCTGCTTCTGGGAGGGGAGCTGGCGGGAAGCTCAAGAAGGAAGGAAATGAACAGAAGCTGAGCGCCTCTGGCGTGCCTGGCGTGTGCTGACACTCTGCACACACTGCCATTCCACCCTCACACATCACCCTGCTCTGGCATCCTGGGCGATGTCACAGTGAGGCTGGAACGGACGCAGCCGCCCTGGATGCCTGTAGGGTCCCTGGGGCCCTGCCACACAAGCCCTCTTGGCGTCTGAGGCCGAAGGAGACGTCAGCACTACTGATCCTGGCTTCAAATTTTAGTATTTTGTTCATCGTGGACTTTTTTTTTTTGGCCTTTATTTAAAACACACACACACACACACACACACACACTGCATTAATTTCTCTTGATTACTAAGCTCTTTGATGCCTCCTAATGTTTGTGCCTGAGGCTAGGGCTTCAGTGGCCTGACCCTAGCCCTGGCCCTGACTCCAGGCCATTGGCGGGAATTGGGACCATTGGCTCTTGACTGTGAGAGCTGAGAGGCCTTTGGAGGCATCTGTGGTTTCCAGACGTTTTAAAAATTTTGTTCCGACAAAAGTTTATGGGAAACCCTAATGGGTAAAAGGGGAAAAGCAGATCTGCCTAATGACTGAAGGTAGGAAGGTCTCCCAGGGGCTGCAGCTGTCCCCTTCCCCAGGTCCAGGCAGCCTTTGACACCCACCCATCAGCTCTGGCGCTCGAAGGATGGTCGGTACAGAGACCTGTGAGGATCCATGCCCCTCATTCACAGCTGAAGAAACACATCTAGAGGTGGTGGTGTGCTAGGAGGGGGGCAAAGGAAGGAAGGGAAGGAGGGAAAGGATGGAAGGAAGGAAGGACAGACAGATGGACGGAAGGAAGGAAGGAAGGAAGGAAGGAAGGAAGGAAGGAAGGAAGGAAAAGGACAGACAGATGGCTGGAAGGAAGGAAGGGTGGGCAGATGCTCTGATCTGTCATTTGCTCCCTAGAAGAAATAAAGGCCCGGGTCTGTAGCAGCCGTCAATTTCTGGGGTGTAACTACTCCCCCTTGATGTCACTGAATGCCGAGCTGGAAAGAGATGAGAGCACCCACTTCTGGGAGCTGCTGAGTCAGCGGCAGGGTAACTGACTTGGCCCAGCACGTGGGGGCAGAGTTGGCCCAAGAACCCAGGTCACGTGGCTCCCAGCCTTGGGCTCTACCTACTGGCCCCAGCTGTGAGGTCCTTGGCAAGGCCATCCTGGACCTTTTCCAGGACTTCTCTGTCTCTCTAGTCAATGATCCTAAGGTCATAACATTCGCCCGTGGGACAGTGCAAGACCGAGATCTTAGCGTCAGGATTCCACTGCCTTCCATGGGGCACCGCTGCTTCTCGGGTGCCCAGTACACACCACCAGCCTTCGGGTCCAGGGTTAACCACCTACAGGACAGAAGGAAGCAGGCCTCGTCTGCTTTTACCCTCTCTTCTGGGAAGACTTTCACAAAAGGAACAAGTGTAGTATTTGAAGTAATACATAGGTAGAATTTTATTACTAAATACCATGTGAGTATACAAAATGCATAATTGAATAACAGCTAAAAAAAAAAAAACAGTCCAAGCATGTGAAATACACGTTTTTTTGAAATGATAAAAATGTATCCATGAAAAATATAAAATGTTGCATGTATATACAATATATACTTATATATATATAACATAAATGGAAATTGTAAATAAGAAATGTGTACATCAGCAAACAGGCACAGGCACGGAAGTTGTTTTATACAGCAGCCACTTTGTTCCAATCAATGAGCATTATTATTTACACCTTGTATTGACAAAATCCACGAGAGAGTGTTTCCACTATGGTGACATTTAAAAATTGTTTGCACTGAAAATCAAAGTTAATTGAGCAACAATATAAGGAATCCTCAGTCTGAAGTTGATAGAAGAATCAAGAATGGAAGCTGAACAAGATTCAAGGCATCTTTGGGAAACAGGGTGAAGAGCCAACCGGGAGATGTGCAGAAAGAATGGGGTCTTCCGAGAAGGAGACAGGCCATGGGGACGTGAACCAACATGACACTCTCACTAGCTGGGCAGGCACCGGCAGGAAATCCAGTGTAGATTCAAGCATGAGTTGGGGTTCAGATCGGGACACTTCCCAGGTCCCTCCCTGACCGTAGCATCTGTGGGTTTGCAATATGAGGGCCTCCTCCCTCAGGGAGGACATTCAAGTAACAGCACTGAGGCATGAGGAGACGTTGTGTGTGGTATGGCATGGGGCCACTTCCCAGAGGGCTCCTTGCCTGGAGCTGGCCCCAGGGGGTCCGAGGGCATGGATGCCCGGGCCTCACAGCTCCTTAAGGATGATCTGGATCTTGCCGTCAAGCTCCCCCATGTCCAGCAGGAAGGCAACATGGTTGCTGTAGTGCTGAATGATATTGTTGTCCATGTTGACCAAGATCCTGGAAGAGAAGAGGAGATATGTCTAGAATGTGGCCAGGCCTCTGGGTGACAAGGATGATAGTACTGGTTCCTACCTATCGGGTGCGCACAACATGGCAGGCACCTCTCGGACTTTCTCCTGATAGTCCTAACAGCAGAGGTGGGTATTCACTGTCCCACTTACGGTGAAGGGAGTGGCCCCCAAGGGGCCGAGCCACTCCTCCAACCACGGCCTCTCTACTGCAGCAGACTGACTCGGAGGGATGCAGTACTCCTCGGCCCCTAGGCCAGATGGGACTCGGACACAACGTGAGAGTTCAAGTGCAAGAGGCACGGTGGGTGGACCAGTGTGACCTGGGTTCAGTAGGAGGCTGCGATGTGTCACTCAGGTGTGCCTGCCTGAGCCAGAGGCAGGTGCCACCTGAGTCTCTGCTCTCGTGCACCCCCACGAAGTGGAAACCTCACGGATAGCACAAGTCGCATGAGGGGCTCGGCTCTCTCCCCCCTACACCCTTCAGGCTAGGACCTGGGCCAACCTGAGAGGGACAGGGCCTCCATGCTGCAGCCCTCCGCAGAGTGTCCTAGTCACTGTGAGGGCCTCCCTGGCCCGACCACACCAGCTGTCCCTTTGTAATGGAGTTGGTGGTCCTCATCCATCCACCCTACTAGCGTTTACTGAGGCCTCTCCGTGTGCAGGGTCTTGCTCCACACAGAGATCCTAGAGGATGCCCTACATGCCTTCCATGAGTCTGTAATCTAGTAGGGCCTGGGAAAAGAAATCTTTAGAACCCCATTACTCCAGTTGGTAGATGGAAAAGCTGAGCTTCAGAGAAGCAGAGTCATTTGCCTGAGGTCACACAGTTTATAGATGGCAGAGCTGGGACTTGAGTCTAGACTTTTGTCTCTTTCCACTGTACCATTTTTTAGAAAGAAAAACAAAAACTCCCTATAAATATGAGTTAGGAAGTGGCCTATATGAGAAAGGCAAAAGCCAGGTCTGGGGGAGAGTTTGGATGGGGGCGAGATTGTTTCAAGTAGGGCAGGAATGGGGGCTGCAGATCTCAGACTACCGCTCCCAGCAGGCAGCCATCTGCTTTCCAGGGGGACCCCTGGGGAGGCAGTAGGCTTGTCCCTGCCATCCCCGGGGTCCGGAGGACGAAGACCTTGCAGAAGCAGGGAGCCTAAGCCTACGGCCTATGTCCAGCCATCTGTACAGCAGCTTCCAGATGCTGCTGCTTTGTGGAAGGAGGTCTGGGCTCAGGCTCCCAGGCTGGGGTGCTGACAGCCAGGGTCTAATTACAGGCTCCCACTTCCTCAGGTCCCATCAGCGGTTCCTTCATCTCACAGAGGGATCTTTGTCTGGGGGCTGCAGGCTGGGAACAGATCCGAGGAGATCAGGGCTGGGCCAGAGGGGTGAGTGCTCTGTCAGTGGCCAGGTTTCTATTTGTTTCCGACAGTAGTAGTTACGGGGCGCCTCTAGGTGCCAGGCAGTGTGTGCCTTACATGCATGAACTTGACGGCTGCCTCCCCCCACTCCCCAGCAGGGCTTCCAGTGGGCCGGGGTGCACACTTCCACACAAGGTATCCCAGACAAGCCCATAGACCC